CCCCCCCCCCCCCCCCCCCCCCCCCCCCCCCCCCCCCCCCCCCCGCTTCCCCATCCCAGGCTTCCTAATGTCCTGAACTCCAGGTCTATCTAAGCACACGGGGGTGGGGGGTGAGAGCGGGTCAGCGCCAAGCAGCCGGGTCAGCTCGGAGGCCTGAAGGGGAAGGGAGGGGGAGGGGCGCTCAAGAGCTGGGGGAGGGGGAGGGCTCATCCATTTCTCCCTTGACAGGTGGTTTGAGTCTCTGATTGGCTAGCGCTGCCAGGCTCACACCTCCCTCCCCCAACTCTCTGGAATGTATAATTATCTGCGCGGGGGGTGGGGGTGGTGTGTGAGTGTGTGTGGGAGCAGTCACATGGTTTTAGAACTACCCCCCTCCATAAGCCCCCCACCTGTATGCTGCTTTGGGGGGCCCCCACTAAGTCGTTAAAGTGCAGGATTCCAAATTCCGGGGTACTCAAGACTTCTAGGGCTGACGGCCCCCATCTCCAGATGTGTGTGTGGGGAGGGGGTGTCAAACCTCAAGGTTCTGAGAAGAGACACCCCAGAGGTGTCAGAGACCACAACGATGGGGGAGGGCTGGAGCTGGAGCCAGAGGGAAAGGGAGGGGAAAGAAGAGGGAGGGGAGGGGAGGGGGCTGCCCGCGGGGGGTTGGGTCATTGTCTTTTAGAATTTGGGAGCCTTTGAAAAGCCGTGGGCCCTCCCACCGCTATTGTGCTGGGGAAGATGTAGCGGCCTCTTCTCCGAGCCACCCCTTTGCCTCCGGACTTCTCTGGGGCCAGCAGCCACCCGACCAGGGGCCCGGGGCCGTGGGCTCAGCCGACTACCATGGGCTCTGTGTCAAACCAGCAGTTTGCAGGTTCGAGCTCGGGACTTACTGGGGACACCTTAGGCTTCAGGGGCGCCCAGGAGCCACATAAAAGGGAGGTGGGGAAATGTCCCCCAGACTGGCCGAAGGACCCTAAGTCTGTGCGGCCTCCTGCTTCAGGGGCCATTTCTGGACCAAAGAACCCTGGTGTCCCTGTGGCGTGCACGCCAAGGCTACGGGGGCGGAGGGAGAGAAGAGGAGGGGCCTGTCCGGCCATCCATCCCCGGGCAACGTGTTGTGGGAAGAGGAGCAAAACTTTTGGGGCAACACTGGCTTCAGTGTAAGCTTGGGGAGCGCGGGAGGCGGCCAGGACATGTCTTTCCTCGCCAGCTGGTTGGTAGCTGCAGCCACCTGGGTGCCCATCCGCGGGCTGGACACTCGGGTCTCCCTGCTGGGTCTTGAGAGCACCCTCCGATTCCGTGGCCCCCCAGTTGAGCGTCCTCCCAACCTCCAGGTGGCTGCGCCAAGGCGCCAGAGGAGGCGCAGGAGGACGCCGCCCGGGCGGCCGAGGAGCCGCAGCTGCTGCACGGTGCCGGCATCTGTAAGTGGTTCAACGTGCGCATGGGGTTCGGCTTCCTGTCCATGACCGCCCGCGCCGGGGTCGCGCTTGACCCCCCGGTGGATGTCTTTGTGCACCAGGTGAGACGGACGCTGGGAACTTCGCCGGGTAGGGGATGTTGGCGCGCATATTCAAGGTTGGGCGGACCGACTCGGCTGTTGGATTGAGGGAGATCGTAGGCCCTCATTGTACGCTTCCATCTGTGTCGTGGCACCCCAGTCCTGAGTCCCCATTTACTCCAACGGGACGGGGGGGGGTGCTGAGTCTATGAACAGTACCCCCAACCTTCCCGGAACCCCTCTGGCTTACCACGTGTCTGTTACCTCTTTCCCTTGGGAAGGGGGCAGGGGGCAGGGAGGTGACCCCATGTGGCAGAAACTAAGGTTGTATTGTGCTTGCCGGTGGGGGGAGGGCGAGTAGGCTGGCCAGGGAAGCACATGCCCGGTTCAGAACAGGGCCTTGAGCGCCCAGCGTCTTTTACTAACGTGTGAATGGAGCTCCCTAGCGGGAGAGAGGCAGGCAAACCTCTCTGGGATCAAGCAGGGGTAAAGCTGAGAAGTCAGTTGGGTCTCCTCACCCAGGTGGTCACCCAAAACTCAAACCCTGGGGCCTGAGTGAGTTTGGCAGATCCTTGAAGACTCTGGGAACCTGAAACCTCTTCCAGCGTACCCATCTCAGGCACATAATTAACCTACTGGGCTTTGGCTGTGGAGTTATACCAGGAAGGAAAACCGGAGTCCAAGCCTTAGATTCCTAGTCCAAGCTGGGAGGGAGTTAGGTCACAACCCCAAGTTCTCAGTTAAAGCAAGGCAGCCCAGTGCCGGTGAAATTCAGTGTCGCAGGGCAGGGGGTGGAGGAGTCTAGCCTCTGGACCTATTCTCTGCTTGGCATTTATGGCCCCAGACGGCCATTGATTGCTGTCCTAACATTCCAGCCTCGAACAAGGAGCCAGAGACTTCAGGTTCCCCTCCTCCCCGGCTTCCTCTTCCTTTCACCCCCTCCTGTATATCTTAGAAGTGTTCCGGTGATCCTGGGACACCAGCCACCCATAACAACCACGGAAAGGAAGTTGCTGTTTGGGTCCATTCCACCTTCAGATGTTTGGTGTGGGACGTGGAAGAGAGAAATTGATCATCTCGGGTCCAGTAGGTTGACACCCAGACCGGGCAGGGAGGGGTTACTTCGGAGAGGTTGGCTTTAGGAGCCTGGGGGGAGGGGAAAGGAGGATGTGGGGATTAAGGGTTGGAGCCTCAGGGATGGTATTCTGGAGGGGGAGGGGTGGAGAAGGGAGATCCTGGGTGGACTGGTGGGAGGCTGCCGTGAAGTCTCCGGAGCTTGGCCTTCCACACGAGGACACGGAGTAGTGAGATGGGGGGTGCCGGGAGCCAGTTCATGTTGGGGTACTTGGCGGGGAGGGGGGTCACTGGGCTACTGGAACATCTGCCCTGCCGGGTGGGTACACTGCAGCTTACTTACCCACCTTCTTGCTGTGTCCTGTATCTCCTCCCACCCTTAACCCCCACCCCCAACCACCCGACACTAGTTCAGGCTTTGCCCCCAACTCCTTGTCTCATTTACATATGTGAATGATAACCCACAGGAAGTAATTGCGGGAGAATGAAGGGAATTGGCCTCTTTAGATCTATTAAATCACTTTATTACAGGAACCAGCTTTGAATGGCCCTCCTCAGCGGGGTAGCCAGCTCTCCCACTTTCCCATTTATCTGATCACAAAGAGATTAAAATCTCTTGGTCTGGAGAAGGACCGGACAGCTTCCCCAATTTTGGGAGGCTTGGAATTAAAGAGACCCAACATTTTCTTGCGTCCCTTCCAAAGGCTGCCAAATAGGGGCTAGAAGGAATGTAGCCCCTCATCTGGGTTTAGTTAGTGCTGTCCCAGTTCCAAGGAAGGTGTTCCTGAACAGATGAATCTATGCCCCGATTCACTTAACATTGGGATCAAAAGCAGTTGGAAAATACTTGGTTTTCTAGAGGAAAGCCGGGATTTTCAGGTTTGGGGAGTGGAATCTGCATGAAGCTCCTTTAAATGGGTTATTTGGGAGATAATCTGGACTTCAGGGTCTTGGAATCTCCAGGGACATGCCACTGTTGAGTAAGTTACCAAGAGGGAGTTGAGCAGGGAGAAGGAATCAAGAATTTGTCTCCTAAATGCCCTCTACCAACAGTCACAGAAGACAATGAGTGGAAATTCCCTGAACCTTACCTGGTAGGATAGCATGCTGCCCGGGCTTGGGTTGATCGTCAAACCCTACGACAGCAGTAAACTGGTGATTATAGTCCCTGCACTTGAGAAATCTGAACTATTTCTTTGGGGATCTAATGTAGAGTAGATTCAGGACAGTCCCTAAAGATTGTTGTACGGAAGGAATGTGTTCCCGTGTTCCCAAAGTCTGGGTGTTGGGGGGGGCAGCTGAGAAGGGGGGTAAGGCTGCTCTCTTTAGAAGGAAAACCTCCCCTTCTTTGGCTGCTGGTGGTGGGTATCCTGGAGCCCGAGATGATGAGAAGGGTTATTGTCCCGTTAAATGTCTGCCAGGGGAGAGGGTCAGGAAGCCCCTTTCTAAGAAAGGAAAAGGGGGGAAAGCAATTTAATATTTTCTTTTCCTTTCCAAGGTTGGGCTTATTTGGTTCCTTCCTAGCACTATTCACGACTGTTCTTGTGCTCCCTCTCAAAACACTTCAGGCCTCCCCAGGAGTTGATGAGTAGGAAAGAAAACCTACCCTTACCCTTAAAAAAAAAAAAAAAAAGGTAAAAGATTTCTCTAAACAACACTTCTATTCAGACACATCTTTAGATCCAGAACCTCTGCTTAACCCTGTGCTTAGGAGAATTTAAGAATCATAGTATTGGCAGATGTCCAGCCCTTAAATCAAGGTTTTCTCAACCTCAATTGACATATTTTGAGAAAGATAACCCTTTGCTCAGAGCATCCCTTGGTTGTGACAACTAAAAACATCTCCAGACCATGCCATCCCAGAGGCAGAATCCCCCCTCAGCTGAGAAATAGTTACACAGGGAAAGCAGGAGCAAGAAGCCACGAAATTAAGATTCACCAAGAATGTTGAGATCTTCATAGCCATTTTAAGAGTTTTGGCTTAACTCATGTTTCCTGTGGCTTAACTCCCAAACCCCCAAGATTTGTAGAAATTGGAGCACCAGAAAATGCTCCCTGCTTACTCTACAGCTCTTCAGATCCCAACTATGTCTAAGATGGCTTTCTAGCTAAAAAGTGGCATTGGAAGGTCTCGAGGCAAAAGAAGAGCCCCAAGCTGACTAAGGGACCAAGTTTGGGTTAGGAGAAAAAATTTCAATATTGAAGCCACGTGGCTTGCTTTTTCTGCAAAGGCTGAGTGGGAGAGCTACCTCAGGCGGGGTCTGGATTAGGACTCCTGGGTGCTGGGGTCGGGGAGGGGAGAATGTAAAGAGATATTTCCCACCTGGTTTATAACTTTACTGGTGCCTCTGATTGCTCACCTCATATCTAGTTGGTGATGTGCTTGTCTTACATCTCCTCTAACTAACCTGTAAGCTCTTCTAAAGAGTGGGACTAGCTAGCTGTCTGCTTAGTTTCTTCCTAGTATGCTAGTACGGGCTTGGTGGGCAGAAGGAATGCCCATGAAGAAAGAAGGAGCTCCTGAATCAGGAGGACATTAACAGTTTGGGGTCCCTGTCAGCAGAGATCTTCCTCCAGAGAAAAAGATTGGAGATAAGGGAGGGTGTGTTATGCTGATAACTGCTCTTTCCGGACTGAGGTCTGAAATAGGGCTGGGCTCTGAGGTGCACAGTGAAAGTTGGTGGCTTGAATGTCACAGTGTCGAGACCCAGATGGGATCCTCTGGTTTCTGTTTGTGGACTGGAAGCCCACAGGTTTGGTCATTCCTTAGTTCTTCATCCTAACTGGACAAATCAGATTTTAAAAAAAGTAAGTGAATCACCCTAATTTTCAGAAAGTTGGTAGAGGTTAGTTTGAGCATTATGGGATCTTGGATCTCTCTCTTTCTGAAGAGACATGCTTTCTAGACAGTGTCCCAAGGAAAGGCTGTGCCACGATCCTGAGTGAGCTTTCAATCTGAGAAACTTGTCACCTTTCGGCTGGTAAGTGGTTTATAGTGACTTTCCCCAGGGCAAGGTTGTTTCTTGAACATTCCTAATCAAACCACACTACTAGAATTGCCTGTTTTTTTGGGGGGGTGCTGCTCTAGGGAAAGCCTCCACCCTCCCTTCTTCCTGCAGGCATGAGTAACAGTTACTATCTCTATGAAGTCTGGGGTCAGGCGGTGTGGCGGAGGAGGAGAAAATTTTCAGGAATAGTACCTCGTGTGTACAAACCCATTTCAAATGATCTCAGCTTGGAGTTACTTAATTCAAGCAGGAACTCAAATTCCAAGAAGAGTAAGTGAACAACTGGGTTTCTGGCTGAAAACTCCAGGACCTTTTCTTCTGCACCTCTTGGGTGGATGGGGGCCTGGTGAGAAGTCAGTTCCCTATCCTTGAAAGTGTGATCCTCTTGAAACTCCTTCCTGAGTTGGGGAGATAATGCTTCGCAGTTTCCAATCTGGCTGTTCCTTCGGTCTCCCGCTCTGGCTTTCAGTGCGGACAGGCTGCTGAACAGCGCCATCTGGTGGAGAACGCAGGAGCTGGGGTCCCGGCTGCATCTGAGCGGAGGTGCCATGTGGGGGCTGTCCCTGTGTGGGCAGCCTCTGGTTCTGGACTGATCTCTTTCCTCAACCCTCCCTGACACATCATCAGACAAGCTGTTTCAGGTAGAACCGGTTGGTTTCCTAGCCCCTACCAAGCCCTACCTTCAGGAATGAAGCTCAGGTAGGAGGACTGTGGTGACTCCTCAGGACTGAGTCCTTTCTTTCATCGGCTTCCTTTACTTCTGGTTCAGAAAGTTCTAGAATATGTATGTGTGATTTGCATTATACTGCATAGCACTGGCTGGAGGGTCAGGCTAGTTGGCATCAGAGCACCTCTGTGGCTCACTGAATTTGGATGAGATGCTTCCCTTCTCTGCTTCCCTGATCTTAGCAGTAACATGGGGTGATTATGAGGCCTACTTGGCAGGCTTGGTATAAGGGGTTAAGTGCTTAGAGCTCTCCTTAGCTTTTAGTAAGCATGGGTAAATATCAGTGACTTTGGATAGTGGGGAACTTGGGTTATTCCCCAAACGTTTGTGTACAGCTAGGTGGTTAGCGCTGAGGGAATAGACAGCACACTAGACAGTCTTTTGCTGGAATGGCCCTGAGAGTTGCAGAAAAACCAGGAACTCATGTCATGCTTGCCTCCCTGAAACCAAAGCAAGTTTCCTTGAAATTCTGCCTGCCGCTTCTGTAGAAGGGAGCGGTGCGGCTAAACATGGGCATTGTTGGAGCTGGTGATGAAGGGGGTAGCCTTGCTTTTACAAATGGTTAAAAAAAAGGGGCGCCTGGGTGGCTCAGTGGGTTAAAGCCTCTGCCTTTAGCTCGGGTCATGGTCCCAGGGTCCTGGGATCGAGCCCCGCATCGGGCTCTCTGCTCAGCGGGGAGCCTGCTTCCTCCTCTCTCTCTCTCTGCCTGCCTCTCTGCCTACTTGTGATCTCCATCTGTCAAATAAATAAATAAAATCTTTAAAAAAAAATGGTTAAAAAAAAGAAACAAACCCATGTGTGTCCGACCTTCAGAGAGCAAGTTCCAGGGAAACTCAAGTGTCCTTTTTACTCCACCCCATTCTCGGAATGACAGAGAATGTCACTCCTTTTATGTGAATTGCTGAAGCCCCAGATTGATGCTGGGCTGTAGTGTTTTGAAGAGTGGAAGGTTAGTGGAGACAGTGGTGAGGTATTAAGAAGGAAACAGAGGGCCTAAATATTGAATTGGCCTGAGCCCTTCCCTGCCACCCAAAAGAAATATCATCCTCCCCAGTGCAGTGGGTCCCCTGGGAACTGCGTTGAACAAACTAGGTAAGGAAGATGGGAAGGAAGCCTGTCTCCCGCCCCTACCACCTTTGAAATAATTGATCAGAATAAATAACCCTCATTCAGGTTCCTGCATAATGGATTTGAAGAGAGGCGAGGGTTGGGGGGGGCGGGGGTCCTGTGTAGTTCTGTCCCTGGAAGGCTGGGATGGCAGGTCAGGAAGAAGGAAGGATGGCTACTGGTGGTGACTTTGGCAGATCCAGCAGACATGACTGGGGAAGGAAGGTATCTCTCCATTTCTCTCCATGACCATAACCCCAACGTGGAGAGGAAGGAACTGATGAATGTGGTGAATGTGGGGTGGGGGGGGGGGGGGGAAACTGCAGCCTCAGGAACTCCAGGAATCTGACCACCAGAACCAACCAGTGTCAACTCTTTGTTTCCTGGGGCTGGGCTCTATTGGGGGAGCTCAAGCCTTGCCCCTCCCCCCCCAGGCCTTTTCTTTTTTTGGAGGGGATGGGGAGAGGGGCGGGGCCCTGCTTTGTGTGTGGTGGGGGTGGGGTGGGGGTGGTAGCAGGAATTTCAGGCTCCTTTCTGATGCAGGCCCTGTGAGGCCAGCTCAGTGGGGCAGCACGGTGATTACCTATCTGATAAGAGAGGAATTCAAACTATGTGTTGTAGAAAGGGGCGGGGTGGGGGGGCAGGCAGCCACCCCTGGAGACCACCAGTCTAAATCTTGACCAGCTATGGTAAGGTGCCTGCGGGGTTATTTTGTTTTGTTTTGTTTTGTTTTTAACTTTTGAGAGTCTTATAGACCTCAGATCCTCCGATCCTGGGGAGTGGATGACCTGAGAGGACCAGTCAGTTTCACATTGCCCCCACTGGTATTGTCTTGTTCTCCCAGTAAACCTAGGAGGTGTAAATAGATTTTTTTTTTCCCCGAGTTTCCATAGTTATAAAAACCAGAGTTAAAATTTTGAGACTCCTGATACTTGGTTCTTATTGTGACCCTGCCCTAGTCCAGTCTGAAGGGGTTGATGATAATTTCCGCTCACTGAAGATTTGTGTGTACAGGTTCCGTGTTAACTACTCTTTATGCACAAAACCTCAGAGCTCCTCCATAAAATTACTTTTTGCTCCATTTTATAGATCAGTACAGAAAGGGAACAACAGGCCCTCAGACTCCAAACCCTTGTTAATTACTTATCTGCTTCACCATCTAGCTGGAGCTAGGAGTGTCCAGCCATGCCCCCGCCCACTAAGCAAATGGGAGGATCTGGGCTTATACCTCCTGGCAGATTGGCTCGTCCTAGCTGAGTGAGAAACAAGTCAAATGTAACTTCATATCAGGGTCGTTTCTGTGCAACAGCAAAGGGGAAAGCCCTTCGCCTTTCTGCATTGTTTTTATTTCCTGCTTTGACTCTTTGCCCCTTCCCTCACTTGAACCTTGGGGGAGGGGAGCGGTCCTCCTATCCCAGGCTGTTTCTGTGGGAAGGAAAAGGAGAGGCTATTCCTATGATGGAACTGGAGGGACAAAAGCTACAGATAATAATACATGAAATATTAGCTGGGCACATTCTCGATGTTTCCATACCTACATGATCTTCATTAGAAACTTAGTTGGGTAACTTACCTATTACTCCAGTCTCTGAAGGAACTGAGGGCCAAAGGCAAACGATTGACTAAGGTCATGCAGCCAACAGTTGGTAAAACCAACATTTCAGGAACTACGGTATCTAGCTTGGGCTTTTCGCCGGTGATCCCAGTGGGACCTTTGTCTTCAGAAATGCCATCTGAATTAAAACAATTTAAATGATGGATAAATTGGGAATCCCATCTGGCTAGAGAGCATGTTGCCCCTAAGGCCCAAGTCCCAGTTTGAAATATTCCTCCTACCAACCATCACCTGCGTAACATGTTACTTATTCAAGCTCCTGCAAGCCAAGACTGGGTGCAGTGGTCTTTTTGCTTCTCTGAACCCTATTTTCGATGACCGCACTTGGTTGACATTTGATACACTCTTTGGATGTTTGACCGTAATGGAGTAAGCTATCATGAAGTCTGTCCTGGGGAGGGTATGGGAGAGGGGGTCACCTCCACCAGCATGGAGATGTTGTTGTATTAAGTGGCAAGACTGTGAGCTTTAAATGGGGAACCTTGGTTTTTTCCTGACCCTGTTACTGTCCCTCAGCTATGTGAGAACTACCTTTTTTGGGGGGAGGGCTGCTGGGCAAAGTGTCAGTATTTTCAAATAATGGTATAAACATGGTGTTTTAATGGGGTTGTTTCAAACATTCTGGATCTTTTGATCTTTTTTTCCTTCACCCAGTAGTATCTGGTCATCTTTCCAAGTCAAATAATTCAGATTTATTTACCTCTTAGTTCATAGCAAGTTTTATCAGTCTATCTCTTGACTTTCACAAGGTGTTTTTTTTTTTTTTTTTAACACTTTGATTTTAAACCCTCTGGAATATATTTTGCATAAATGAGATAGACAACGTAGAAGTCTGGCTCAATATCCAAAATGGGTAGCTAATTTTCTCAACAGTTTTGAACTGTTTTCTTCACCTGTTGATCTCTCTATATACACTTGGATCTCTCGGACTAAACTTACTGATCCATCTGCTTGGGTCATACTGTCTTTTCCCTTGACCTTGCAGGAACATTATTTTGATAGAATTCCAGACTTGGAAGAAGGTTGCAAGAATAATACTAAGAACTCCCCATAGGACCTTCACCCAGATTAAGCAAGTTGTAATATTCTGTCCCATTTGCCTTGTCATTCTTCATGTACAGATAAACTTTTTTGGCTCCTTTTTTTTTTTTTTTTTTTTTAAATTAACCTATAATGTATTATTAGCCCCAGGGGTACAGGTCTGTGAATTGCCAGGTTTACACACTTCACAGCACTCACCATAGCACATACCCTCCCCAATGTCCATAACCCAACCACCCTTCCCCCCCCCCCTCGCCCCCAACCCTGTTTGTTTTGTGAGACTAAGAGTCTCTTATGGTTTGTCTTTTTGGCTCCTTAATCATAAGATACATCAGGCACCTTTATTGCTAAATATTTCAGTGTGTATCTTGGAAACTAGGGTCATTCCCTTTCACAATCTCAGTACAAAGATTAAAAAAACCTGGGCATTTAATATTGAAACATTTATCTGTATTCCATATGTAAATTTTGTGAGTTGTCCTAATGGGTTTTTTTTGCCCTGTTTCAGGACCCAGTCCAGGAGCATGCATCCCACTTAATTGTTCGATTTCTGTACTTACTCAAACTTTGTTTTTCACACCTCAATATTTTTAAAGTGTACAAGGTTGTTACATTTTACAATTCTATATTTGTTTATTTTCCCTTCCTCTCTCCCTCCCTCCCTCCTTCCCTCCCTCCCTCCCTCCCTCTCTCCCTCCCTCTCTGCCTCTCTCCCTTCCTTCCTTCCATCTCTAAGCCCATCACGGGGCTTGAACTTATGACCCCAAGATCAAGACCTACACAGTCCACCTACTGAGCCAGCCAGGCACCCCTATTTGTTGATTTCTTATGAATGCTAAGTTTAAGAACTTCTCATCTGTTCTATTTTGGTTTAAATGAGAATAACTACCCTACCCAAAATATTACAGCATCTGTTTATGTAATGATTGTTCTTTGTTCATGTAACGTAGATCCCTTGTTCTTAACTGTGGTGGCTCTTTGGGTTGACATTTTCTTTACTGAAAACATGGAAATATTACACTTGTTCTTTTTTTTTTTTTAAGATTTTATTTATTTGACAGAGAGAGATCACAAGTAGGCAGAGACACAGGTAGAGAGAGAGAGGAGGAAGCAGGCTCCCCACTAAGCAGAGAGCCCGATGCGAGGGCTCGATCCCAGGACCCTGAGATCATGACCTGAGCCGAAGGCAGAGGCTTTAACCCACTGAGCCACCCAGGCACTTGTTCTTCATAACTTATACAAGATGTGTGTCTGCAGTTTTTTGGTGTAAGAATGGAGACTAATATTAAAATTTATCATGTTTCCCTTCCCCAGAGCAAGCTGCACATGGAGGGCTTCCGGAGCCTGAAGGAGGGTGAGGCAGTGGAGTTCACCTTTAAGAAGTCTGCTAAGGGCCTAGAATCCATCAGGGTCACCGGCCCTGGTGGGGTGTTTTGTATTGGGAGTGAGAGGCGGCCCAAAGGGAAGAACATGCAGAAACGCAGATCAAAGGGAGACAGGTATGAAGGCGGAGACAGGTATGAAGGCGGCTTGAAAGGGGAGTGCTCTCCCGATCTAGCCCCTTTCTTGGACCAGGATACCAAAGAACAAAATGAAGCAACAATTCGGTGTTGGGTTTCTGCCTTAGGGTGTGGGAGGTGGGGAGAGGGCTGTAGGTGAGAAGGGCACTTGATGACCTAGCTCTTTGACTTGTTAAGTAATTTTGCTCTGTGTGCTCTTGCCTCCATGGCTAATTAGGGGTAGTGATGCTGGCCTCATGTGATTATTTTAGAAGCAAAGGAGACCACGAATGTGAAAGTCTAAGTGCTGGGGACAAACTGGTGTATGTCCCTGTTGCTTCTTCACTAGGTCTCTCCCAAGTGGCTGGTTTCTTTTGTCTTCCCTGTGTCCTGGAGCAGACCATATAGTCTGACTCCTTTAATTATCTCTCTTTTTTAGTGAAGGACAGGTACCGTTTCTTAAGAGTATGGTAGGTAGCATCTTGCCTATCTTCCAAATTGCAGTTCTAATTGGGGTCCATGACTTCCATTGATATTTCAGTATTTTCAGGTTGACCTGAATCTGAAGATACCATCTAGACAATTACAGATTTGGGAAGAACTTCGAGGTATCAGTCATGGTCATATTCTTCCTTTTCTAAGTGGGGAAATGAGTTTCCAGGAAGGGGAGTGATAATTGACCAGAGCCCAGGTGTCCTCACTCAGAGGTAGACTTGTGCTCTAGCTCCTTTCTCAACTTTCCCGTCCTGCTCTATACCAGGTGCTACAACTGTGGAGGTCTAGACCATCATGCCAAGGAATGCAAGCTGCCACCCCAGCCCAAGAAGTGCCACTTCTGCCAAAGCATCAGCCATATGGTGGCCTCGTGTCCCCTGAAGGCCCAGCAGGCCCCCAGCTCACAGGGAAAGCCTGCCTACTTTCGGGAGGAAGAAGAAGAAGAGATCCATAGCCCTGCCCTGCTCCCAGAGGCCCAGAATTGAGCTACAGTGGGTGGGGGCAATTCTTTTGCGATCAGGAAGTCTTGAGGAGGAGGCAGCAATCGGCAGAGTGGAGAAAGTGGGGGCAGGGCGGGTAGGGGGCAGCTGGCTCTGCCGTGCATCTCAGGCCGGGGTCCACAGCATCACCCCCTCTTCCCTCTTGGCGCAGGGTAGGGGGGAAGGGGTGAGGCCAATGAACTCCAACCGTGCTCTATCCAGATGCTTTTGAGGGTTTTGGAGAAAATCCCTCCCTGTGTGCTTTATCTGAATGTCCACCCCCGGATCTCCAGCTTTGGAACGTGGCCTGGAGAGGGAAATGGTTTTCCTTTTGAAGAAGGAGATGTAATAGTAATTTTTTCCCATGCCAGAATGTAGAGATTAAGCATGAGACCAGATTGATGGGCCCAACCCACGAACCACTACATTCTGTGGGCAGGAGTCTCTCAGGGGTAAGGCAGGGTTTTTCCGCATCTTGTCTCGTAACCCACCATTGGGATATAGGGTGCCGAGGACTGTCTCAAGCATTGGGTTGTGACAGTAGCCACAGGATGGTCGGGGGAACGGCCACAGACCTACTGTTCCTAAGCTGACTCCCACCCCATTCCGGGCCAATAGAATTTTATTTATTTGCTCCCATGGATAAGCGCACCTTGGGCCCCACTTTCTCCAGGATGCCAACTGCACTAGCTGTGTGCGAATGACGTATCTTGTGCATTTTAACTTTGTTTTCGTAATATAAATATTCTGGTTTTGTATTTTTGTGTATTTTAATCTTAAGGCCCTCATTCCTGCACTGTGTTCTCAGGTACATGAGCGATCTCAGGGATAAGTCGGCAGCAGCTCCGGGTCTACACAGCAGGAACGTTTGCTGTTTGAGCACCAGGGCGAACATCTAGTTGGAGTGCATAGCCTATTGAACTACCTCAGTTTTGGCAATTAGAGCTGGCTTTTCTGCCGTAGTGTTCTCTTGAAACCCCTCTACCTTCAGTGATCCGTGGGAGACTAGGTTTTAACTCCCGTTTCCCCATGACTTGACCTCCTGCTGGAAGATTGGAAATTGGTCTGAACAGGAAAAGATGGTCCAGGAAGTAGTATTAGGAGAGGCTGCACCAGCTGAAAGGTGCGGAGGGGAAGCCCAGATTAGTTGTCTATACGTGTAATAAGGGATTCCTGTTCCAGATTTCTAATCCCAGGGCACAGGACTCACTTTACATACCAGATCCATCCTCCACTGGATTGGGGCTAGGCCTACCATGCACAACAGGGTGTATGTGTGTGAGTGTGTGTGTGCACGTGCGTGTTTTAAAATGAGTTGGTAAGGTTGGGTTTAAGAATAATAACTCTGGACCCATCTTGAGCTGCCCAGGGATGGGTGTGTGAAGCAAAGGCTAAATTTCTTAACCTTTATAAATTCTGGGCTTTTCTTGTTGGCTTCCAGAGAGTCCATAAACCATGGCTTCTTCGAGGTGCCCAGAGCCAGTGCCATGCCCTGCTGTAGCAGTGATTAGTATCGTGGTAGCTAAAGGAGAAAAGGTTTTATTTACATGCTGTGAGATCACTACAAACCTACCTCACTGTTGAAACGGGGCAAATGCAATAGAACGCATTGGGTGATGTGTGTCTGATCCTGGGTTCTTGTCTCCCCTGCTCATTGCCCGCCCCCCCCCAGTTACCTTATTTGTCTGGGTTTCATAGGACTTCACTAATAGCAGATTGGGTGATTGCTAGGTGGCCTGGTTTGTGTAAATAGACTGTGTTGGTCTTCTCCATGTTCTTTTGGGGTTTTATTGTTTACAAACTTCTCTTTGTATTGAGAAAAATAGCCAAAGCATCTTTGACAGAAGTTCTGCACCAGGAAAAGAATCTGGAACATTGCTTGGTGACCCTCTGGAAGCGTTGCGGTCTTAAACCAGCCTTTCTTTTGTGTTCCTTCCCCTATTTCCTGTTTTGGGCCAGGTCTTCTGTCCTAAAAACCTGACTCCTACCCTGCCCCTCATTTATCTCCCCTCCCCCCAAAAGCCCCCACATATACACATTTCCATCTGGTAGAAGCGAAGAACACTTCCTCCCTTGTTCCCAATCTCCTGTGCCAAAACCATTCCTTGATGTGATTCATATTAATATGCTTATATTTGGTTGGAATAAACCTACTTGAATCTCCAGTCTTGGGGTAGAGAGCAGCAGAAGCAATGAAGGGTGGGGGCCTTCCATATAGAAAGTAGGGTTGGGAGACCAAGAAAGGGAAGATGAATGTATATCCAAGTCACTCAGGAACTTTTATGCAGGTGTAAGAAACTTATGTCAAAGCGGCCACAAGATTGTTTAATAGGAGACGGACGAATGTAACTCCATGTTTACTGCTAGAAACCAAAGCTTTGTGTGAAATCTTGAATTTTGAATTTATGGGGGGGGGTGGTAGGAAAGCTGTACCTATCTGTTCTTTTCCTGATTCCCTCCCCTCCTTTCTGAACTGCAGGAGACTGAGCCCCCTGGGGCTTTAGTGACTCCATCTCTGGGGAGTGTTTATTTGATGGTTGATTTTGCTGTGCCAGATAATTCCTTTCCCACTTGCTATTGTTTTGTAACACACATGCCTTTTCCCTTCTCTCTTTACCCTGGGAAAATACAATGAATAAATAAAAACTTATTGGTACTGAAACTGTCCTCTTTTTGGGTCTTTAGGCTGTTTTTTCTTCTATAATTCCTACCTTCTTGGACTGGGACTCAGAAGTCAGGGAAGAACCATTACATTTCCTGTTCAGCCATTTTGTTAAAAATGAATCTTGAAAATTCAGTCCTCTTAGCACCTCATTACAGCAGAGTTTTGTTTCTAGTTAAGGCCTCTTGTCCTGTTCTTGGAAGCTGCCACATTCAAGAGGGGATTAGGAGCATGGCATGCATAAGAATGGGGTTGCCTGTGCCACTGGCTGGGATGAAAGGATGGGGCCATGGCTTGGGGCATGAGACCCTAATACTTTCTCCCCTGCTCCTCAAAGCCTTTTACAAGTCTTAATTAATTAGCCCCCTGCAGCACCCCAGGGAGGGAAATACGTGAAACTAGGGAAATTGAGGCCAGAGGAAGTAACACTGATTAGCTATACAAAAACGTTAACATTTTCTTTGAGGCCAAGTGTGGTAGCTTTCTAATGAACATTGTATTTTAAAACATCTAGTCCCCCCCCCCCACTTCCCCAACAAGGGAGGGGGTTTTTAAAAAAATTGATTGGAGGCGTGCCATCTAGTACACAAAGTGCACAGAAATGGCAGGACAAGGGTAAGAATTTTCATACATGCATTCCAGAAACTTCATACCAAAAGTCAAAACTGACCACGGAAGCAGCTGAAAGCAAACTGCAGGGCTTCAGTAAATGGTCTTCCTGCAAATTTGATCTAATCAGCTAGGCTGAAACTTAATTTTCAGGATGCAAAGCAGGAAGCATGGAAAAGCTTGAGACTATTCATGGGTGGGTTACTCATCTCTAGGGCTTTCTTTGATCACGTGTGTTAAGAGTAACCCTTTCACATGACATGATGAACTGAGAGCTACCAGTGCAAGAACTCTTCCTGGCCTTGTTTCCTTGATGAGACTATAAAGTGAGAAACTACAAGAAGGTTCTTTAGAAATTGAAAAGTTTTTTTTTTTTTTGTTTTTGTTTTTTTGAGAAAATTGAACTCTTTAGTTTCTTTTGTGAATCCCTCAAGTTCCTGCAACAGTTTCCTTAAAGGTTACAGAGCTTAATGCCTTTGATTTTTCGATCAGGGTTAATTGATGGCCTTTCATTCGTCATTCTTAGAGCTCTTCCCAGCCTCAACCCCATTTTGAGTTGCTCTGGGCAGGTCCTGAATCTGAAAAGCCTAAAATATAAGTGCTTTAAATCACAAGAAGCATTGATAGTAAGTGCGTCTGTGAGACAGACTAGGGCTAGGAAGTCACCAAACAATTAAATCCACTAAATAAAACTGCAACATATAAATACAGAATTTAAGACTTAAACCAGGACTCCAACGCCCACTTCTCAGGACTTCCAGCAAGCAGCCCCATTTCTTAACAGTCCTAACCTGCCACCAGCTGCTGATAAGCCCTTGCGCTTCTGGGATGGGGATCCCCGAATTCTTGCCCTGTGGGGCAGCCTGCCGGACGCCTCTGATCTGGTTCTACAGACCTCCCTGCTTCCCCAGGTGATCTGGACCCCGCCTTTCCCGGCCGGGTCCCCGCCACTTGGCCCGTAGCCCGTTCCCCCGCCTCCTCGGTCTCGTGAGCGCGGCGCTCGGTCTTTCGCTCGATCTCCACCTCTGCACTTCCCTCCCACCATCCTTCTCTCTCGTATCCCGGGAGTGCGAATTTCGCCCTCAACGCTAGCACCGCCCCTCCTCCCAGCCCGCAAGCGCAGGGCGGAGCCCCGCCCATTAGTTGACAGAGGGGGCGTGTTCCAGCGCCCAACGATGACGTGTTCTTCCAGCGCCACGTCGTGAGGAAGTGGAGCAGTTGGAAGGCGCCGGGCGGATCCGAGCAGGTGCTGGGTTCAAGAGGTCGGCGAGAGGGGGAGACTGCTGGGCGGGGAGGCGGCTGTGGGAGAAACAGAGGGGACAGTGGAAGAGATGAGTGAGGGAATAAATAATTTGGAGAATATTGAGATTGGAGGTGACGGAGGCGACACCTGAAAGGATTAGTGTGTTGGTGCGCGGAATGGGAAACGGTCTCGGGGAAGATGGAGAAGAAAGAAACCGGGGAAGGATCAGGATGTAGGCACTACGATGTGGCAGGAAGCAGTCTGGGATGTTCAGGAACAGTCAGTGCAGATGCCGAGGAAAAGGGGATAGCAGCAAGGTTCACCAAGCCAAAACCAAGGAAAGGCCTCTGCCCCAAAGGTCTCATTAGCTTATAAACTCTGGGTGGTGAAGAATTACAGACCAGGGTCTTTGGATCCTAAACCTAGCCACTTTCCACAGTCCAGATAAATCTCTGCAAAGTCATCCAAAGCAGTTTGCAAGCTCTGGTGATTTATTATCTTTCTTGTTTATCCAGGGTTACCTGTCTGGTGTCTTCTTGTTCTGGGCTCATCTGCCAGGGCAGGAGCTATGTCATGGATCAAGGAAGGAGAGCTGTCACTTTGGGAACGGTTCTGTGCCAACATCATAAAGGTGAGTACCACTTGTCCTCCTGGTTAGTTTGGTAATCTTGTGTCAAAACCTGTTATTAAAATTGAGTAACACATGACGTTAAGTGGAATTTAATAATGGAGCCAATGAGTGTTTGAATTGCAAGGTAACTTCCAGGTCTACATCTGGCAGATTATTGTCCTAACGTTCACACTTTTAGGAACCCCAGGACCTCCCAATATCATTGAGTAACCTAGACCGTTAGGTCTTCCTTATAGGGAGCTGAAATTTGTTAACTTGGAACTTTAATCTACCTTCCCTTGCACTGTTCTCTGGATTTAGATAGAATAATCATTCCTTGATGTTGCAGTAGAGCATAACGGTTAGGAGTTTGGACTCTAGAGACAAACAGAATGGAAGTCTTAGTCTATCATTTACTAACCATGTGATTTCATATGGTTGTTTTGAGGATGAGACGAAACACAGACTGAAAACAGCACAGTGTCTAGCGGTTTTTAATGACTGCTGTTATTGGGGCTGTTTTCAGCTGTTTGAGGACTATGGTCATTCTATTTCCTACACCCCTTGCCCAAATTTTGCCTCCACTTTTCTCTGGGGATCACAATAATGTTATATTTTCTGCATATAACAGGTTTGAGATTGAAGCCAGTCAGCCTGGTTTTGTCTTTCAGCAATCTGTCAGGCAGTGTGTAGCAGTGAACTTATGAGTCAGCAAGCCTTGTACCCCATCCCCCCACCGCACATTCATACACAAATGCCAAGTGATCTCTGTCAGGCGGGAAAACAGAAAGCATCTTCCTGGGGAACCACTGCAGTCACATGTTAGGAAGAATAAGCTGCATGACTTGACTGGAATTTTTCTTTTTTTAAGACTACACGTGGAGAGGGGCGCCTGGGTGGCTCAGTGGGTTAAGCCTCTGCCTTCGGTTCAGGTCATGATCTCAGGGACCTGGAATCGAGCCCCTTAGCGGGGAGCCTGCTTCCCCTTTTCTCTTTCTGCCTGCCTCTGCCTACTTGTGATCTCTCTCTCTATCAAATAAATAAATAAATAAATAAATCTTAAAAAAAAAAACAAAACGAAAAAAAGACGTGGAGGACAAAAGCTGAAAATGTTAGGTGTGGGGGACTTAGTCAGTGGTAAGGTCCTTCAGTGAGGGAAATTAGGCTAAGGAGTGCGTTTTTGCTGTGATGGACAACAAAAGGTTACTCTAAGCCAGATAAAACATTTTATTGGGTCCCCAAACTGTCTTATTTGTTCGCTTTGAAATGGCTCCTGACATTTACATTTTGATGAAAATACCAGTGTTCGGCTTCTCATGTGTGATTAGGGGAGCAACAACATTGACCCCCCTTTTGTGGTCGGATAGAGTAGATTTTTCTTGTCTGTGGAGGATACCCTTACCACTGGGCCGTAGCCATTAATATCGTTCCTGTGCCTTCCAGGTGGAGACATGAAACCAAAGTGGTGGTCAAGTGTGTATGGTTAAAAGATGAACTCTGGAAGCATACAGACCTCAGTTTGAATAACCACTTGGACTTTTCTTAGCTGTGTGACTTGTGCAAGTCACTTGACCTCTCTGAGCCTATTTTTTCACCAGTGAAATGAAGCTAATACTATTTACTTTATAGGTTTATATGAAGGAAAAACTGAGATGAAGTATAAAAAGCCTCATATAATACTTGGCGTGTAGTAAGTGCTCAATATAAATGAATTTATATAAATAGGTAAAAGTGCTTAATACCAATTTATTGAGCCAGCAGCTCAAAATATACCCAGTTCCTTCCTCATGGGGGCTCTTATCATCTAAGTCAAGCCTTTCAGCCAGGGGTTTAGTGTCTCCCTGAGTGCATCATTTGTCTTCTTATTTCACAGGCGGGCCCAATGCCCAAACACATTGCCTTTATAATGGATGGAAACCGTCGCTATGCCAGGAAGTGTCAGGTAGAGCGGCAGGAAGGCCACTCACAGGGCTTCAACAAGCTGGCCGAGGTGAGTGTGGGCGGCAGAACCCAGCGGGAATAGTGTGTGGAGAATTGGACAATAGCTACAGAATCAGGCCCTGAGTTTACTATGGAGAGATATATAAATGATATTAATTGATATATATAATATATTAATATATATAAATAATAATTTATATAAATATAAATATATATATTTTTTTTAACAGCTGTTTGTCTGTTGTTGTTTGCTTACCTGCTTAGGTCTCATATCAACATGAACAGAAATTAAGTTATATAGTGAATCATCACAGAAAATTAGAAATAAGAACAAAATTGACTTCTCTTACCACCTCAGTAAACCAGCAGTTTATCGTTTTCTGTGCATCTCCCCAGTCCTTGTAATATGTTCTAACATGACTTAATATTTGTGAAATTACACGTGTATTTTTAGTAACCTTATTTTATGGGGTATTTTGGCAAGTCCTTTTCCAAGGTTGATATGTAGCTTGTCTAACTATATGTTTTAATGCCTATAGAATATTTTATTACCAGGATCTGACATAACTTGTTTAGCTGCTCCACTATTATCCGATCTTATAAATAGTTCCATTTTAGAATAAATTCTTGGATGTAACATTTCTGGAGCAAAGGTAGGGTGACTGCCTATCCCGGTTTGACTGAGGCCTTTTAGTGCTTAAACTGGGAAGAGTGCCAGACAGCCTGGGTCATCACTGGAAACAAAGGCCAAGGGGATTTTATGCTTTTAATGCATGTTGCAAATTGGAAAACATTAAATTTAACTATAAGAACAGGATGTGGTCTGTCGTTGTGAAGCTAACTTTAAGAAGGATGGAAATTCAGTCTGGACAGCCTTCAGCTTCCCAGCACAAGAACATGGCCTGATGCCAGGGCAGTGATACTTTTTGCCTGGAGTGAGTGGATGTGGGACTCAGTTGAACACCCTGAGGAGGTCTTTAGGTTTGTTGACCCCAGCTTCTCTTTTGTGACTAAGTAAAAGGCAGTTTGGCCCAGTGCTTGGGAGCTTAAGCTCTGGAATCACTCAGAACTTGTGGGCACCCCTGCTCTACCACTTCCCGACTCTGTGACCTGCAGCAAGTTAGACAGCTTCCCTTTGCCTCCGTTTCTTCATCGGTAAAATGAGGACAATAATAATCTCTACTTTCGGAGATTATGTAAGGATGAAATAAGATGGCACTATGAAGAGTGTGTGGCAACGGTTTTGGCATAAAGTGCTCAAAAAGTTGGCGTTGTTACCATTCACCACTATAATGACTGGTCGGTGGTAGTTTCCGCCCCAGCTGTGCCAGCCAAAAGGTGGCTTCCCCGTCATCTGTGGAGCCTGAGTCTGTTGAAGTGTCAGGTTCTCACTGGTCGTTTTCCCCAGGTGGCAATGAACTGGGCTGTGTGTATGTCTGTTAAGGGATCAGAAAGGCAGCTCGCTTCAGCCTTGTTTCTTTAGGTTCAGGTCTGATTGAATGTCTTCTGTTCCTTGCCCTTAACCTCCACGCTCCCTATCTCAACACTGTTAGTCTCAGCTCTAGTTAGTTCTCTGCCTTTAGTGGTTCTGGGTTAGAGCACCCCCGAAGGACTGGGTTGGTTTGTTTGTTTATTTATTTATTTATTGAAAAGATTTTATTTATTTATTTGGCAGACAGAGATCACAAGTAGGCAGAGAGGCAGGCAGAGAGAGGAGGAAGCAGGCTCCCTGCTGAGCAGAGAGCCCGATGCAGGGCTTGATCCCAGGACCCTGGGATCATGACCCGAGCCGAAGAGGCTTTAACCCACTGAGCCACCCAGATGCCCCAAGGACTGGGTTTAAATATGAGTTTCACTTATCTTTTCAATGAGGTATAATTTCATACGGTGAAATGCACATTTTTGTGCATTTTGTTTTGACCGTTGAATCTACCTGTCTAATCCATACCCCTGTCAAGATATAGAACATTTCCACCTCTCCAGAAAGTTCCCTTATGCCCCTCCCCTCCCAGTCAAAGCCTGTCCCACCTCCTCTTCCCCTCTTGAGGCAACCACTATTCTGATTTCTATCACTAGAGGTTAGTTTTTGCTGTTCTAGAACCTTATATAATGGATTCATACACTGGAGTTGTAGCCTTCTGACACATTTCTTCCACTGTCCGAGCCTCAGTTTTTCTCCTCTGTAAAGTAGACATGAAGTCAGCAGCGCCATTCTCAAGAGGTTTTTCAGAGAATCGAATGAAATAATGTATGTGAAAACCCTTTCTAGATTTAATGCTACACAGCTGTGTACTCGATGCCTTCATTCTTATAACTCATCAGCCTCTCAATCTAACAGGAAAAATGAGCTTATGTCGAGAGTAATAATTCCTTGTGTGTGGGTTTGTTTGTTTGTTTGTTTTTTTGAGATTTTATTTATTTATTAGAGAGAGGGGGAGAATGATCGGGGGGCAGGGAGCAGAGGAAGAGGGACAAGCAGACTCCTCACTGAGAGTGGTGCCTGATGTGGGGCTCATTCCCAGGAGTCTAAAATCATGACCTGAGCTGAGGTCAGATGCTTCACTGACTGAGCCACCCAGGTGCCCCTATTACCTTGTGTTTTATATTGTCCTTCAGCCACCTTGCGAGTGATGGACAGTGCTCCTGTTTTACAGATATGGAGAGTTAGGCCCATAGAAGTTAAATGATTTGCCTACCCTCACACAGCGAGTGCACGTTGGAGTTGGGGACTGGAACCCAGATCTTGACTCTTGTCGGTAAAGAGTTCTTTGTAATAAACCACAGTTTACTTATTAAGTTCACATTTTTCAGTTTCTCAAGTGGTGGCTTTCTGCTTACTTGGTTTGTTATTGTGACAGAAACACTGGGCTTATCCTAGCTTTACCTGGTTTGGGGAGGAGAAAAGTCTGTCTCTCGCCTCCAGGGCGGAGTGGGAGCGGAGGCGTCCCTTAATTTGCCTCCCTGCTCTTCCTCGTACCCTGGCTCCTTGCGTTCTCCCTCTCAGACCCTGCGCTGGTGTTTGAACCTGGGCATCCTAGAGGTGACGGTCTACGCATTCAGCATTGAGAACTTCAAACGCTCCAAGAGTGAGGTAGACGGGCTAATGGATCTGGCCCGTCAGAAGTTCGGCCGCTTGATGGAAGAACAGTAAGATTTTACCGGAGTGGGGACTGTGCTCGGACACCATAACCCTCACCCCTCTCATCTCGGGCTTATTTAAGGAACTCTAAACCCTTTTAATGTTAGTCAGATCTCTGATGGCATCAATGCAAGCTAGTTTTTCTTCCCTGATGATATAGAGATATTCCCCAGAATTCAAGGACAAGTATAACCAGCCTCAAGCAAAACTGAAACCAGGAATTGAAATCCATTAGATAGGGCCTCTTCCTACTCTCTGTAGTCCGCCTTTCATCGCTTCACGAGAGCAGCCCAGAACGAACTAAAGCCCTTAATAAATAGCCCACTTTACATTTCTACCCCACAACCAATAAACTGTGATCCGGGGGGTAGCATCAGAGAAATGTTGGAAAAGTCCTTTTCTGCCATGTAATCATCCTAAAACATTACTATGCTGCCCTATATATTCTCTTGGAAGGGACAGAATGATGTGTATGAGGCCTTTAGGGGGAAGACTCAGTACTGTTCTTAGCTGTCACTAAGTTTAAACTAACTTAGGGAGCAAGGCTGAAAAAGGAAAAAGAGGAAGTTTGATGGAGACGATTTGCTTCAAAGTGTGGAAACCTCCCCAGCCAGGACTGCTCCAATCTTCATTACAACCCTTTTCTGCCCAGCTCTTCCCTGTACCAGGACCCAAGGGGATGAGAGAACAGAGAGCCTAGGGCATTCGTGGAGCTGGGCCTAGAACAATTTTGTCATTTCTTTCTTTTTTTTTTTTTTTTAAAGATTTTTATTTTATTTATTTATTTGACAGAGAGAGAGAGATCACAAGTAGGCAGAGAGGCAGAGGGAGAGGGGGAGGCAGGCTCCCTGCTGAGCAGAGAGCCCGATGCGGGGCTCGATCCCAGGACCCTGAGGTCATGCCCTTGAGCCGAAGGCAGAGGATTAACCCACTGAGCCACCCAGGTGGCCCAATTTTGTCATTTCTGTTCCAGGGTGGGTTTTGGGTTGGGGAAGATAGCTAGGATTCTCTCTGTCCATAATAGGATAACGAGATTTGGCCACAGACCTAGCTTCCTGGTCCCCAACAGAGCCCGTGTGGCTCAGAGTTCCCCCCCCCCCGCAAGGGCTGGGTTTGGAGGCATTCGGGGCACTTCCCAGGTATTCGAATTCTTCTGTACGTCATATGTACAGAAATTCTTCTGATCCGACCTTTTTAAAGTGCTTATACAGTGTGCCAGGCCCTAAGCCTGGCATGTATTTTCATTTAATATTCACATTATCCTGTGAGAAAGAGATTATTATTACCCCAGTTACAGAGAGGAGGAAAGTGAAAACCAGAGAAGTTTAGGTGTGTCTCCTGGGTCACACAGCTATCAGACAGGCAGAGGCAAGACAGACAAGACCTTTCCAACTCTAGAGCTGAGGTGTTGTCTGCTACTCTGCTCCGAAAGACAGGAGGTAATCTTTGATCTCCTGAGAGATCAAAATGCATGGCAGTAGAGGTGCCTCTGAGATTGCTCTAATCAGTCAGCAGGAGAGAAAATGGTCTTAAGTTCTAAAGTCCTGGACAGAACAAGAAGAAATGTTTTCAGTGGTTTTCCAGCAATGTGCAGTAGAACCTCAGAGTTCTGAGGAGTGGGTGTGCAAAGAAGCCAGAGGGAAGGGGGCACAGGGTTCTGGTTGGCATTTACCTATTTTATATATTAGGCTTCTGGTTTTTTGGTGTGTTTTTTGTTTGTTTTTTTAAGATTTCATTTATTTATTTAACAGAATGAGAAAGAACACAAGCAGGGGGAGTGGCAGGCAGAGGAAGAGGGAGAAGCAGGCTCTCAGCTGAGCTGGGAGCCCTATGCAGGGCTCGATCTCAGGGCGCTGAGATCATGACCTGAGCTGAAGGCAGCCACTTAACTAGCTGAGCCACCCAGGCGCCCCTGGGCTTCTGTTTAATGTGTGACTTAAAGAATGAGTTCTTTAATGAGTTCACAGGACTAGTTCAGTTTCATAATTTGGGAGACAACTCTAGTGGATAGAAGCACAAGGCATGCCCATGGTATGGAAACCTCCCCAGCCAGCTCATGGCAGAACCAGGTTGGGAACCCGGGTCTCCTGGCTCCTTGCCAGGGCTTTTGCCTCTCCTTCCCTGTAGACCTCACTCAAGTAACCCGACTGTTGTCTGAGAGTAAGCACTTTCAGGTACATTCTCTCCCTCAGCACAGGCCACTGTGGAGCATATGATAGGGATGGTTATTACCCCAGTTCACAGGGTATGGGAAACTGAGGCTGAGAGAGGCTGTTATACAAGGTCATCCAGTAAGGGCTGCCTCTGGGAATTGAATCTAGCTCTTTTCATTCTGGTTTTGCCTTGATCCCGAGTATTCATTTGTCTACTATAGCAGCTTTGATGGATTCATGAAAACAGGCGGTTAGATCTTGCTTCACTCTGGAAACAGAGTGATGTGGGTTATGGAGTGGACCCGCTGTGGATGCGGCCTTGCACTCCGGACCGGGGATCTCAAGGACCTGCCCGCCCTACGGAATCTTCTTGTTACTAAGTTCCCATTTGACAAACACTTGTCATTCAGTTTTTCCATAGTGACCCCAGGTGAGGGGAGCTGGTTGGGTAACTGAATTCATGCCCACTGTGCAGAGTTTGGGAATAACTGTATGGAGGCAGCAAGATGCCATGATCCAAGAGGACAGGCCCAGGAACCAGGCTCCCTAGGTTCATGTTCAGCTTTCCACTCACCACCTGTCTGATGTTGAGTAAATTGCCTAGCCTTCCTGTGCCTCAGTTTCCTTGTCTGTAAAAGAGGAATGATAATATTGTCTCCCTTAAAGACTGGTGTAAGGATAGGACGTACTGATGCGTGTAAAGCACTTAGACCAGTGTCTGGCACTTAGTAAACATAAAATTAATCTGAGGGGGTGCCTGGGTGGCTCAATGGGTTGGGCCTCTGCCTTCGGCTCGGGCCGCGGTCTCAGGGTCCTGGGATCGGCCCCCGCGTCAGGCTCTCTGCTCGGCGGGGAGCCTGTTTCCCTCTCTCTCTCTGCTGCTTTGCCTACTTGTGATCTCTCTCTCTCTCCGTTGGGTGGATAAATAAAATCTAAAAAATAAATAAATAAAATAAAATAAATCTGAGATGTTGCTGTTATTAACATCTTTTACCAGAAGGTACAGAAGTAACGAACAGTATAGCTTCTGCCCTTGAGTTTACTCCCTTGTCAGAATGGGACAGGGTATATAAAACGTAACTTGCTGAGAAGGACACATGAAGCAGTGTGACGTGTGGTAAAGAATTTGGGTTCAGGTTCTTAAATCAGGCAGACCTGGCTTTCAGTTCTGATACTGCCCTTAATGGCCAGCTGACCTTGGGCCGTGTCTGCCTGCCTGTCTGAGTGTCCATCTCCTGCAGTGGAATGGGGAATGTGGCAGACTCGGGTCAGAGTCATTGAGGGGATGCGGTGACACTGTGCACCCGGGACAGTGCCCGACACACAGGGCATCACTTAGGAACTGGGAGTTGAGTGTAAGCAGTTCTCTAGGTCCACGGGCTCTCTGTCCCAACCCTGCCTCCTTTTCCTGATCAGGGAGAAACTGCAGAAGCATGGGGTGTGTATCCGGGTCCTGGGCGATCTGCATTTGTTGCCCTTGGATCTCCAGGAGCTGATTGCACAGGCGGTGCAGGCCACCAAGAACTATAACAAGTAAGTGTTCCCATTTCCCTGGAGCATCCCAGAGTGGTCTCTGACTCCCTTTTAGCTTTAGGGAGACATGCTGGGCTTTCTTGGTACGCATTTGGTACAAGAGGCCAGGAGGGGTTGGGGATGCTTAGAGACCTCTTCCATCTTCAGGACAGGCCAGAGATGGTTCTTATTGCCTCGTCAGATGTGCGTGAACATACATATACAGTGTTTCATCCTCTTCCTCCTCTATGCGCCTACCCTCCATGATACATACATATACATAGGTTACATATGCACATATATGTAATAGTTTTTTACTTGACGGGCTAGGGTGGAAATGAGCATTATAGGGTGGGTAAGCTATGGATGTGGCCTTGAGCTCTGGATCAGAGTTCTCTAGGACCTGTCTGATACCCCGTATTATAATATATTCTGTTTCCGTCTATGGTATATCTCTGTCTCTGAAGGCAGATCCTTCAAGAAAATCTTTCTCTGTCCCACTCCTTTAACCCATGGAGAGGCTGACATTGGGAGGTCATGCAGATGCAGAGGTGACCAGAGTTCAGTAATCAAATTTCATGAGGTGTGCCTTTGGAATATAATACGTATATTTCATGAGGCCTTTGGAATATAATATGTATTTGGCTGTGGGCTGGATTGCATCAAATTTCCTTCCTGTTCTACTTTGCTTGTATTAGTATCACAGTGAATTCACGTCCTCTGAAAGCTGGTTGGCAGTAGTAGAGAGGGTTAGGGGCAAAAGGGTCATTTAGTGTTTGTCTTATTACAAAATTAATAACATGTTTATTCTAAGAAAAGTTGGAAAACGCAAAGAATTCATGATCTCACCTTTCAGAGATATCCATGATTCACATTTGGGGTGTGTGTGTGTGTTCTTCTGGGGAAGCAGTACTCTTCAGACAGTGACTTAGTCCTTTCCTCTGGTAAATTATTCTCTTTTTCCCTTCTCAGGTGTTTCCTGAATGTCTGCTTTGCTTACACATCCCGTCACGAGATCAGTAATGCTGTGAGAGAGATGGCCTGGGGAGTGGAGCAGGGCCTGCTGGATCCCAGGTATCCTTGCTTGTTTAACGTGGTAACCGATAGGGAAGCCAGGCTTGCCCCTACGAAGCCATGTCCTTGGGCTGAAAGTCAAATGAGGGATGCATGTAGACAGAGTGAGGGGCACGACCCTCCCCACACAGAGCTTAGGATAGGCTTGCCGTAGCCTACTTCAGAATTTCTGTGTTCACCATAACCCAGGAAGTGCCAGAAAAATGGCATAGCAGGTAGCAAAGCTGTGGCATTCACTAAAAAATGATGTCCTTACACCTGAAACTAATATAACACTTATGTTAACTATATTGGAATTAATTTTTTTTTTAAGATTTTATTTTTAAGTAAGTCTGCACCTAACGTGGGGCTTGAAGTCATGACCCCGAGATCAAGAGTCTCATGCTCCACTGACCGAGCCAACCAGGTGCCTCTGGAATTAATATTTTTTTTTAAAGGTTTTAAAAATTTATGTATTTGAGCTAGAGAATGAGCAGGAGGGAGGGGCAGAGGGAGAAGGAGAGGCAGACCCCCCCAACTGAGGAAGGAGCCCAACACCAGGCCTCGTCCCAGGACCGCCAGATCACAGCCTCAGCCGAAGGCAGACGCCTCACCGACTGAGCCACCCAGATGCCTTCACAAATTTTTTTAAAAAGATGGCCTCCAGGGAACTTGGGTGGCTCAGTAGGTTGAATGTCTGACTTTGTCTTAGGTCATGATCCCGGGGTCCTGGGATCAAGCCCCATATCGGGCTCCCTGCTCAGCAGGGAATCTGCTTCTCCCTCTCTCCCTCTTGCTCATGTGTACTATCTCTGTCTCTCTCAAATAAAATCTTAAAAAAAAAAGAAAAAAGAAAAGATGTCCTCCATGGGGCATGGGGCTCTCAGTCAGTGGGGCATGGGACTCTTGATCTCGGAGGTCATGAGTTTAAGCCCCACATTGGGTATAGGGATTACTTTAAAAGCAAAATCTTTTAAAAAATAAATAAATAGGGGCGCCTGGGTGGCTCAGTGTGTTAAGGCCCTGCCTTCGGCTCAGGTCATGATCTCAGGGTCCTGGGATCGAGCCCCGCATCAGGCTCTCTGCTCAGCAAGGAGCCTGCTTCCTCCTCCCTCTCTCTGCCTGCCTCTCTGCCTACTTGTGATCTGTGTCTGTCAAATAAATAAATAAAATCTTAAAAATATATGTAAAAATAATAAATAAATAAATAAAATCTTAAAAGAAAAAAAAAAAGATGTCTTTCTGGCCCTTTGGCAGTGTTTGCCCTCGAATGATTTTTCAGGAATGCAGCTCATGCGGGGTAAAGTCCTTTAGGTCTCTCATTTTACAGTTTCATGCAAAATTCAGGTATTTTCCAAAAAGACAATTATTCATTCCAAGCAGCATGTGGAATCCTAACTATTAGAGCTTGAGAGATTTTGGAAGCCATCTAGCCTCTCAGTCCCTTCATGTTATTGTTAGTGTAACATTTAGTAATATTATTAATCAGCTAATAATAGCAAAAGTAAAATAACAGCAAAAATAACACAGGCGATGTGTTATGTTCTGTATTTTACTTAGTCCTTGATCTCATGTGTGAGAGGTTCAGGTGTTTTCTCCATTTTATAGATGAGAAAACTGAGCTGAGCATTGAACGGCTTTCCCCAGGCCTTTCTGCTAGTGAGCGCCAGAGCTGACTCATCGCTGGAGCTTTCTGATTCCAGAGTGCCTGTCCCTTTCCTCTGTCACCTGGACCTTGGGACTCAGGAATTTGTCTGATTCCTTTCTTGGGTATAATTAGATTTATCTGTGAAACTAAATTAACGATCAGAAAGTTGCTCAGTGAGAATGGAATTAGATAAGCACAAAAGGAGACTGTTTTTAAGGCTATTCTGTAAATCCTTTTCCTTTCCAACAGCTGGGTGGTTTTCTGTGCCACATAGCTCATTCATTCAATCATTTATTCACTCAACAAATGTTTTTAAAATGCCACATAAATGTAGGCCAAGCATGTTGTTGTACAGAGCGGGTACAGTGGCAAAAATAAAAGTATGTATTTCCTGTGCTCAGGGAGCTCTGGTAAAGGGAACAGGCCATAATCAATATTACACACATTGACATACAATTATAATGGTGACCAATGTTATAAAAGCATCCGTGCGTGGTACAACAAGAATTTAGAGTAAGAGGAATAGACCTGGTAGGGAAGGCTTTGCTAGGGAAACCATAAGTGGCCAGAGAAGGAAGGAAAAGCAGTAACCCAGGAAAGAGGCAGTAGTAGTGTGAGGAGGTTGTCAGTTACAGAAAGGCTGTTGGGATAATTCAGGTAGGGATTACCTGGAATGGAGCTTGTGTGGTGGTGGCGGAGGAGGAAGAAGTCAAGTAGACTGCATCGAGTGTTATGTAGTAGATAAAATTGAGAGGACTTCATGGGCCAGGTCTGGGAAAAAGATGTGTTATGTGAGACTCCAGGATTTTTGACTTCCGAAACAGTGCACAGCGGTGCCCTTCCCTGTGCTAGAGATCTCTGAGGGAGGATCCAGTTTGAGAAAGAAGGTCAGCAGTTTGATTTGGGATAACTGTAGATGTTGAACGTAGATGTCAGGTCTACAGTTTGCGAGGAGAGGTGGGGACTGGACGTAACGGTGTGGAGGTCACCTGTGAGTCGGTAACCAAAGCAAAGAGGGCATGAGGACTTCGAGGAGAGTCTAGAATGAGAGGGGGAGAGGGCCAAGGATGGAGTTTTGAGAAACTCTGACTTGTGCTGGCTGGGTAGAGGAGAAGAAGCCTTAAGGGGAAAAAAGGATGAACAACCAGAAAGGCAGGAAGAAAACCAGGCAGTCGGTATTACGGAAGCCAAGAGAAGAGGGACTTTGCTGGTGTAGGTTGGGAGGAAGGGGGCATTGGTGGGAGCAACAGTGTCGAATGCTGTAGAGAGGTCAATTAAGCTATGGATTGAAAGTGAACTGTTGGGGAAGAAATTAAGATGCTGGTTAAGTCAGTGGGGGGCGGGCAGGAAGATGAGAGACGAAGAGGAACAGGGTTGTATGAGTAGATGCAGGTTATTGTGATTTTCTGATTCTTGACCAATGGGGTGATTTCATAGTTGTTCACAGCATTACTGTGCTTTCCGGTTAATGTTTCATTTAAAGAGACAAATGTTTATGCTGGAAAGAAAGAAAGGTTTTGGCTAGTAGATTTGTGTGTATTCTTGCCTGGGACTAGACTCTGATCATGCCTCTTAGTTCCGTGTTCTTGATACTCATACCACAGCGACAACCACTGACCTTTATCTCATCTTTCTTGCCTAGGAAGTTTTCCCATGTTAATTTTCTTTGCCTTACATGGCTTAGGAACCTGCCTACGTGGGATTAGTCAAGCAGATAGATATGGTGTGGGTGGGTCAGGGTTGCCAGGGAAGGAGGCTGCAAGCTTAGAAAGGTTAGTGTTCTACTTGGACTGGGCTAATCGGAGCCCCAATATGGACATACTTTTATAAATGTTCATCAGAGAGGATTTACAAACTACTGGATATAGAAAGATGAAAATTTAGGTCTTCCAGGATCAGCAACACTCCTGGTAACACTTTGATTTTTAGGATGTCTTTGTAGGTCTTACTGTTTGCTTAGATATGTGTGTGTGAGTTTAATCAACTGAGTTGATTTTTCCCATCAAGTTGTGACAATGTCTGTTACCTGTGTTTACGTTCTAGGTTGTTTGCAAGTACATTGTCAAAACTTTTTTAGCCTGTAAGCTCCTCACATTCAGAAAACCAATATGTATTTGTTTCTGAGATCTGTTTTCAGTGATTCATTCACTCATTTATTCAAACATGTATCAAGTCTTTCTCTGTCCCAAGAAGTTGACATGCTAGAAGGGCAAGAACACAGAGTTGAATGTTTCATGGGGTTTGCCCTCGGGCAGCTCTGAGTCTGGTTCATGTACACACATAAGTCACCCGTGCTGCTGGGTCACGCTAATGGATGCACAGGGCACAAGCTGATGTGATGAAAGCAGTGATCAGTTGTGGTTCAAAGTTCAGCCAGTCATCTTTTTATTTTATTTTCTTTTGTTTTATTTATTTTTTAAGATTTTATTTATTTCTGACACAGAGAGAGAGAGAGCAAGCACAAGCAGGGGGAATGGCAGGCAGGGGAGAAGCAGGCTCCCTGCTGAACAAGGAGCCTGATGTGGGGCTCGATCCCAGGATACTGGGATCATGACCTGAGCCAAACGCAGCCACTTAATCGACTGAGCCACCCAGGCGCCCCCAGAGTCATCTTTTTAAAACACAAATCCAATAATGACATAAATATTTATAACAAAAGAAATCACACTGTGAACACATTACAACCTGCGTTATGCTTTTGTTCACTTGATGTTGTAATATGAGCACTTTTCTATGCCTCATATTTTTCATCGTTTGTCTTATCATTTCTAATGGCTGCAGAATGTGTCTTGCTTTAATTGACTTAATCATTCAAGTTGTTGGTTATGTAGGCTGTTTCTAATTAGTCCTTAATACAAATAATGCTACAAGGAAGTCTATAAATTTAACTCTTATCAGAATTTTGCTTTGTTACCTCAGGATCTGGGTGTGTCCATTTCATCTTATTCTTGCCAAACAGAATTGTAAACTACTCTAGTTTTGTAGGCAAAAGCTGGTATTTTACTTTATTTAAGAGAAATTACTTCTTGGGGCACTTGACTGGCTGAGTCGGTAGAGCATGAAACTCTTGATCTTGGGGTTGTGGGTTTCAGCCCCAGATTGGGTGTAGAGATTACTTAAAAAAAAAAAAAAAAGAAAACATTATTTCTTTAAAGTCTTCATGTAGACAGCTAAGGCCAAGTAATGATGAGTTTTTGTTGGCCATAGCGCAGATGTTCTATTTTCATTTTGTTGATTTTATCTCCTCCTACCCCCTTAGAGTTACCTCATTTTCGGTAAGAATTCTGCCCACTGCTTGACGTAGATGGAGCAAACCTTTTGCAGACACATTTGAAACTCAGAGAGATTAAGTGGGGATCTGAAGTCACACAGTAAAGTGGTGGGACTGGAAATAACATTTCTTCTTTATTTACATAATACTTTATAGTTACTTCCTGAGGTACACTCAGATCTGTTATTTCACTTGTTTTTGTTTTTGTTTTTGTTTTTTAGGGTTGGGGCAGAGGGAGAGAGAGATCTCCATGCCAGCAGGGAGCCTAACACAGGGCCAAGTTCACAACCCTGAGATCATGACCTGAGCTGAAATCAAGAGTTGGATACTTTTTTTTTTTTAAGGTTTTATTTATTTGACACAGAGAAAGAGCGTACAAGTAAGCAGAGTAGCAGGCAGAAGGAGAGGGAGAAGCGGGCTCTCTACTGAGCAGGGAACCCGATGTGGGACTCGATCCTAGGACCCTAGGATCATGACCTGAACCGAAGGCAGATGCTTAACCAACTGAGCCACCCAGGTGCCCCAAGAGTTGGATACTTAATCAACTGAGCCACCCAGGCGCCCCTGTTACTTGATTTGATTTGACCCTCACAGTAACCTATAAGTAGATAGGACAAATGTTCCCATTTCAAAGAAAAGGGAACTGAGAAATTAGATTTATTATACAGGGCCTCAGATTTCTTAGAGAATTAAGACCATGCTGCTAAGATGAGACTATCAGATTTTCAGGGAAATCTGATTTTCAGGGAAATTCTTCTTGCAGTTCGTAAGTGAAAACTGTTTCCCTTGTGATGGCACAAAAAATAAAACTCCCTCTGTGATTTGCAGAAAGAGGACCCAAAGGCACACAGATGGTAAATGTAGTCTCATTTTAAATACTCAGCCCAGGGCTGCCTGGGTGGCTCAGTCAGTTGAGTGTCCAACTCTTGATTTCAGCTGAGATCGTGATCTCAGGGTTGTGAGATCGAGCCCCAAGCTGGGCTTTGTGCTCAGCAGGGAGTCTGCTTGAGATTCTCTCACTCTCCCTGTGCCCCTCCCCCAGCTTGTGCTCCCTCTCTGTCTTCTTTCTCTCAAATAAATAAATAAATCTTACCAGGGTGGGAGGATGGGGGTTGGGAAATAGACAGCCCAGATCCCTGCTTTTTTAACTGTGCTCCTTGAAGAATGTTCCCACGAAGAAATTTTATCTTCTAGATCCTCCCGAGATACAAGTCTTACAACTTACAGATTCCAAATTCTGCCTCTTGGTGCTTGGTAGGGCAGGTAAACAGTGTTCTTAGAACCAGAGGACAACTAGCCTTGCAAATACCTTCTTTCCACGGACAGGAGTGTTTTACTTCTGATAAACGGTAGCAGTCCCCATTCTTCTTCCATTCCATCTCCTTTCTAAATGTCCCTCTGTTTGAGAAAGTAGCTCTTAACAGGGGCTGATCATTTTGCTGTTTTTTAAAATCTTAAGGAACATGGATTTTTTGTAGTGTTTCAAGATCCTCATGACTTAGAAGTTTTTAAAAGTGCTATTCAGGGGCACCTGGATGGCTCAGTCAGTTAAGCAGCTGACTCTTGATTTCAGCTCAGGTCATGATCTTGGGGTCCTGGGATGGAGCCCTAGGTCAAGCTCTGCACTCACCAGGGAGTCTGCTTGAGATTCTCTCTCCCACTTTCCTGCTACCCGCCCCACCGTGCGCACACTCACCTCACTCGTCTCTCTCTCAAATAGTAAATCTTTTTTAAAATGTTCTTTTTTTAAAAAATTATTTTATTTATTTATTCATGAGAAACAGAGAGAGAGAGGCAGAGGGAGAAGCAGGCTTCCTGCAGAGCAGGGAGCCTGATGCAGGACTTGATCCCAGGACACCGGGATCATGACCCGAGTTGAAGGCAGATGCTTATTCAACTGAGCCACCCAGGTGCTCCTAAAAAATTTTCTTTATAATACATTCAAACGATAACAGAAGTACATAAAGTAAAAAAGAGATAGTCTTTCCTTATTTATCTAGCCTTCCCAAAGTAATCACCATTGAGAGTATGGTGTTTATGTCTTTCTAAACTTTGTTCTTTCTTTATTTTTCATTTTTATTTTTAAAAATTTGTATTTATTTATTTATTTTTGGAAGAGAGAGAGAGAGCATGCACATGAGGGGAAGGGCAGAGGGAGAAGCAGACTCCCCACTGAGCAGCGAGCCCAGTGTAGGGCTCGATCCCAGGACCCTGGGATCATTACATGAGCCAAAGGCAAGTGTTTAACCAACTGAGCCACCCAGATGCCCTTGTACTCTATCTCTTCTTTTTCCTTTTATTTTATTTATTTATTTTTTTAGAGGGAGTTGTTGGGCGGAGGAAGAAGGCGAGAGAGAATCTTAAGCAGGCTTAACCATGCCCATTGTGGAGCCCAAAATGGGACATGATCTCATGACCCTGAGATCATGACCTGAGCCAAAATCAAGAGTTGGATGCTTAACTGACTGAGCCACCCAGGCGCCTCTGCACTATATATTTTCTGAAGCTTGTTTTTTCATTTAATATTAACTCTGATCTTTCCCAGTCAGTGCATTTAGATTTATTGAAATAGTTGCATTAGTATTGTATCAAATTGCAGGGTCAGTTGTGTACATTTTATTTTACTTATTTTAAGATTTTATTTAGGAGCACCTGGGTGGCTCAGTATGTTAAAGCCTCTGCCAGGGTCCTGGGATTGAGCCCTACGTCGGGCTCTCTGTTCAGTGGGGAGTCTGCTTCCGCCTCTCTCTCTCTGCCTGCCTCTCTGCCTACTTGTGATCTCTGTCTGTCAAATAAGTAAATAAAATCTTTAAGAAAAAAGATTTTATTTATTTGAGAGAGAGTGTGTATGTATGCAGATGAGCAGGGGAGGGACAGAGGGAGAGGGAGTGGGGGAAGCATATTCCTTGCTGAGCTCAGAGCCCAATTCGGGGCTCCCATCGGAGGACCCTGAGACCATGGCCTGAGCTGAAGTTAGTCTCTTAACTGACTGAGCCTCCCACGTGCCCCAGATGTATGCATTGTAGAAAATAAGATGTTTTAAGTGAAGGACACGTTCTAGTGGGTGCATCTGGTTTTAGTCTGCAGTGAAATGACTTTGGGCAAGTTATTTATCTTCTCTGAGCCTGTTTCCTTATGTATAAAATGAGGATAGAAATACTTCCTATAGTTGTGAGGACTAAAATCATACATTCATTTGAATGTTTAGGGCCTCCGCCTATATTGGCTCATGGTGTTCTAAGAATTGGGAAGCCTGACGTAGGAGTTCACCCTGAGAATAATCCGAAAAGAGATGTGTGCTTACCCTTGTCTCTTCCCCACTCACCTTAGTGATGTCTCTGAGTCTCTGCTTGATAAGTGCCTCTATACCAACCACTCTCCGCACCCTGACATCTTGATACGGACTTCTGGGGAAGTGAGGCTCAGCGACTTCTTGCTCTGGCAGGTAAGCAGTTTGCAACCACGGGGGTTGTGTTTGTGTCAGCCTGAAGACTGCGATCGCACCCACAGGATGGATGTAGCAGGGCTGCTCCCCACTCGCAGCCATGCTGGCACCGGAGAACGGGGGTGGGGTAGGGGGTGGGAATCTGGAGAAATGTATCCAGGCTGTGCCTGGTCACATTGCTGTCCCTTCCTCTTCTGTACCTGGCTCTGCCAGCCTGGGTGGTTCTTGCTCTCCAAAGTGCCTAGAGGAAAATCAAGGCTATCCAGCTGTGGTGAAAACTTCACTTGTGCTCTTGTTCAAAGCACTGGACTTCTGTCTTGTGTTCCTGAGCCTAAGCTGCTGCCCTGGTAATCTGCCAGCTGCTACTCCAGCCCCTCTGGGCTAGAACCTGGCCTTGCAGTCACAGGTCTGTCTCCTTTGGAGAAAGCAGCCGTGTCTATGCAAGCACAGTCCACAGGGATAGAAACTATATGTAGACTCTTAGGGGCCTGCTGCTGTCTTTTAGCTCAGTTACCCCTGTGGTTCCCCGAAAGCTCATAGCCAGATCAGTTTGCTTTTGCTTGAAAATCTCCCATCATCTGTTAACTTGGCCCCTAAGAAACACATCACCATTCAAGGAGAGGTTGGAGAGACTCTGCTTTGTAGCAAGTTCCAGAAATTTTGATGGACCGTAGTCTTTTTTTTTTTTTTTTTTAAAGATTTTATTTATTTATTTGACAGATGGAGATCACAAGTAGGCAGAGAGAGAGGAGGAAGCAGGCTCCCTGCTGAGCAGAGAGCCCGATGTGGGGCTCGATCCCAGGACCCTGGGATCATGACCTGAACTGAAGGCAGAGGCTTTAACCAACACTGAGCCACCCAGGCGCCCCAATGGACCATAGTCTTAAAAGATTTAGCTACTGAAGATACTTTTGGTCTTTGGCTATATTGAAAGAGATAATGTGCAGGTTATGGTTTGGTGGTCTGCTCTGTGGGTCAGATCATGTCCAGAAAGTTTACTTCCACGCATTGAATTTTATTTTATTTTTTAAAGATTTTATTTATTTATTTGACAGATCTCAAGTAGGCAGAGAGGCAGGCAGAGAGAGAGGAGGAAGCAGGCTCCCTGCTGAGCCGAAGGTCGGATGCGGGGCTCTATCCCAGGACCCCGGGACTATTACCTGAGCCGAAGGCAGAGGCTTTAACCCACTGAGCCACCCAGGTGCCCCCGGGCACTGAGTTTTAAAAGACTGCATTGGCAAACTGGAGGACTTAGCAGAAGTGGCCAACCCGGATAGCAAGGAATCTGGAACTCATGCCATGTAAGGAATGAGTGAAGGATAATGGTCTGAAAAAAGGAGGCATGGTGACAGTTCATTCTCTGAGAAAGAAATACTGAGTTCCTCCTTTGTGTGCTGGGCATATGGCAATGACCAAGTCAGAGATAATCCCTGCTGCCTTAAAATGTATCATTTGTAGGCAAAGACAAACTGAACAAGTCATGACAACCTTGGGGACAAATAACAGGCAGCTCTAATCTTGCCTTCAAATATTTGAAAGAATGTCACTTTGAAGGGTGCCTGGGTAGCTCAGTGGGTTAAAGCCTCTGCCTTTGGCTCAGGTCATGATCCCAGGGTCCTGGGATCGGGCTCCCTGCTCAGTGGGGAGCCTGCTTCTCCCTCTCTCTCTGCCTGCTTCTCTGTGATCTCTGTCTGTCAAATAAATAAATAAAATCTTTAAAGAAAAAAAAAAAGAATGTCACTTTGAAGAAGAAACAGACTTGTTCCAGAGCAAAGGCCTGAGACTTTGATAGAAGTTCCAGGGAAGGTGTCATTGGTTTAGCAGAACAAGCTATCGGACAACTAAAGTCAGCCCTCTTTTTTTTTTTTAATTATTATTATTATTTTTTAAAGATTTTATTTATCTGTTTGACAGGTACAACAAGGGAGGGAACACAAGCACCGGGAGTGGGAGAGGGAAAAGCAGGCTCTCTGCTGAGCAGGGAGCCTGATGTGGGGCTCGATCCCAGAACCCTGAGATGATGACCTGAGCAGAAGGCATAGGCTTAACCCACTGAGCCACCCAGGTGCCCTAAAGTCAGCCCTCTTGAGGCACTGAATTCCTCACTACTGAAAGTATCAAGCGATGGCTGTCACGAATGTTGCAGAAGGAACTCTTACATTAGTGATTATTATTAGGGTTTACCCAGCTCTGTAGTCTGACTGCTTTGTGTACATTATCATGTTTAATTTTCATCATACCTTAAAAACTAGGTACTCCTGTCAGCCAGTTTTACAGTTGAGGAGACCGAGATCCAGAGAGGTTAAGTAACTTGCCTTGGGTCACATGGATGATAAAAGGTGAATCCAGGGTCCAAGACAGGTAGTCTGGCCCCAGAGCCCAAGCTCTTCACCACTGTGCCCTGCTCTGCTCCTTAAAAATAACAGCCCTGGCCACCCTTTGTTCATTGCTGACTTTTATCAGACAACATGTCTCCCAGATGACATCTAAGGGCCAAGAGCCAATAACATAATCCAGATGTTATTTCATAGTCCTAAAATTGGCTCTTAGAAAAATCCTGGTGGGAATGTTGATCTAGTCTTGCTGTAGTTCTGCCTCGCTGCACACAGGTGCCTCAGATGACCCCACACCATGAGCAAGGCACTTTGGGGCTGGCAACGGCAGTAGCTGCAGCTCAGGGCGCCTGGGCCCTCTCAGCTCTGGGACCCTGGGTCATGCTCAGCCTGCTCCTTCTTTGGAAGCTTGAACCAGGAGTATGTTCCAGCTACATGCTACTCAACTATCCTGTCTTCCTTCCCCCTGCTTTCCCAGACTTCCCACTCCTGCTTGGTGTTCCAACCCGTTCTGTGGCCAGAATACACATTCTGGAACCTCTGTGAGGCCATTCTGCAGTACCAGATGAACCACAGCATGCTCCAGGTAAGAAAGAGTTCAGGGCTGGTCTGACTGGATGTGATGGAAGAAAAGGTTAGCATCGACTGACCGCCTACTGCTTACACGAGGCACTTGCTAATAGGCATGTTAATGAATATAGTAGCTACTCCTTGTTTACTATATGTCAGGCAATGTGAACATTTTATAGGTACTATCTCATTTAATGCCCCCAAGATCCCAGTGGCCTAGGTATCATTCGCCCCACTTGTTTAAGTGAATACAGCAAAATTCTTTTGTTAAGGATGTATAACCAATAAGACACAGAACTGGGATTCAAGTTACATGTCTCTAATCTCTTTGCACAGAGACATAGGAGACTTCTCAGAGAGATTGGCTATTCCCTCATGGTATTAAGCTAGTAAAAGATTGTAAAAAGTGAAAGTATGCAAAATTCAAGCCTCTTCCAGAAGGGATTAAAAACAAAGTAGCACTGTCTTTCTATTATATAAAATATGTTCTGCCAACATTTGAAGTTCTCTCAGTTTTGATCACCACATCTGGAAACAGGTTTTAATAGGAGGCAGAGTCACCTGCATCTGATTAGAATTCTTGATAATAAGGGTAGTGTGCGTGGTCGTTAGTGCGTTAGATGTATCCCGGTATGTTTCTGTACTTAACCCTTTCAGCAATCCCCTAGGTTTGGTATCTGCATTTTCCAAATCTGGAAATAGAGGGCAGAATCACTGTCTCGATGCCACAGGCTTTTAAACCCAAAGCTGCTGCTCCCGTTTCTTGAGTCTAGAAAGACAATGACCAGGAGGAAATAATGATTTAACTCAGGGCTTCTTAATCCTCTTGGAGAATCTGATGGAAACCATAGACCATCTCCCTAGAAAAATTGCACAGATCATTCTAACACATGGCATTTTGCATAGAATTGTACTCATCACCGAAACAGATGTCAGGGGTTTACGTAACCCCTGGAATCTGTCCATGAATCCCAAGTCCAGAACTCCTGGAAAAAGTCCGTCAAGTCATGAAGCTTTGGTCCTGTGCTTGGTCATTAGAATATGAAGAATTGAAAGAGGGAGTTTTGTTCAAGTGAAAGGAAAAACGGCAGAGTCTCAACTATCCACCATCAGTGAGGAATGAATATCATATTTTTCCACATGACCAAAGCTCCTTTAAGAACCTGAGTTTTTTTTCTATCCCTTTTTGCTGGAAAACTTTCCGAAATGTGTCTTGTACATAATCATCGACACCTGGTATATACCAGGCACTTGCTAATAATGATGATGGCAACTGCCATCTTAAAGCTCTTCACTGGACAGTGATGCCTGTGGAGGATGGGACTGTTTGCCCTAAGCTCGATGGTCCCCACATACTTAGCTTTGGGATTTCGTGTATATTTCCGTACATCCTCCGTGGCATTTTCTACCACCGTCAATGGCTAATTTTGACAGCATCCCTCCTCCTCTTCCTATTTACTGTTTAAAATCAGCTATAGGCTAGGAAACCAGTCAGTCGGGCTTGTTAGAAAGAGGTCTGTAAAGTGAGAATAAACTGGCTCTGAAGCCCAGAGGATGTTGGTGTGTGAGCTTTGGTGCATGGATACTCTTATCTCAGATTTGGCTGCTCAGAAGCCATTTATAGTCATTTCAGGTTTCTTTCTTTCTTTCTTTCTTTTTAAAGATTTTATTTATTTATTTGACAGAGATCTCAAGTAGGCAGAGAGGCAGGCAGAGAGAGAGAGCGAAGCAGGCTCCCTGCTGAGCAGAGAGCCTGATGTGGGGCTCGATCCCAGGACCCTGAGACCATGACCTGAGCTGAAGGCAGAGGCTTAACCCACCAAGCCACCCAGGCGCCCCTCATTTCAGGTTTCTCAGGAGCTTTCCTACATGGCTGTCAGAGGACTTACTTTCATTCGTTGTACAAACAATACCAACTATGAGTCAAGGACTGTATTAAGCATAAGATTCCTACCATCATGGAGCTTATCGTCTTCCTTGAGATAGATAATAAACAAGTATATAAGATAATTTCAGACTGTAATAAGGCAGTGAAGGAAACAGAGTGATATGCTAGAAAGTAATGAAGAAACTAAGAGGTACTAAACAGAGCAGTCAAGGAAGGCCTTTCCGCGGAGGTGGTTTTTAAGCCATGATACAAAAGATGAGAAGCAGCCAGATGTGTGAAAATCTGGCGATAAAGAATTATTCTCTACAAGAGGAGCAGTAGTGCAAGGACACTGAGGTTGTCAAGTCTGGATCTTGGAAGAACATGCAAAGAGGCCTTCGTGTACAAAGAAGGGTGTGAAATGAGGCTGGGTGTGAGTTAGGCCTCTGGTTATATAGGACCTTATGAGCCATGGTGACATAGCTGAAGAATTTTGATCAGAGGAATGACAGGATCTGATTTATTTTGCAACAGTCATTCAGGATTTTTGCGCGGGGCGCAGCAGTCAGGGGGACCAAACTCCTACAGTGGTCCAGGTGAAAGGATGTGCCGCGAGGTCGGGGGGTGGCTGTAGGGAGGGGAAAGGCTGAGTGGACCGAGATGAGGAAAAGCAAAATTTGAAACAGAAACAAATGAAAGTTAATAATACAACCCCTAGAGAAAAGAGTTAGTTCAGGTTATCTGAACATAGTTCTCGGACTATACACCTTTAGTGAGATGGACTAGAATACAAACTGAAAGGAAACTTAACCATTACTCAAGAGGTTTCCATTACTGGTAATGCTGATGATATAATTTTGAAACTCATGGATCTCGGAGGATAAAACAAAGTGAGTACAAATATTAATGTTACTAGGAATCCAGACATGCAGGTTTTGGCCTAGATGGTTAGGAGGATGGTTCTGCTATTTCCTGGGGTGAGGGGGGACGGTGTTTGAGGACAAGTGTTAAAGGTCCCATCCTGTACCTGGGAACCCTAATTGTAGACATTTACTGAGTTCTTACCACATGTCAGGCATCCTTTACATGGATTCTTTATAGTGCTAGAAGGTCAATACCATGGTTATTGCCACCATTTTTTTTTTTAAGATTTTATTTATTTATTTGACAGAGAGAGATCACAAAGCAGGCAGAGAGGCAGGCAAAGAGAGAGGAGGAAGCAGGCTCCCTGCTGAGCAGAGAGCCCGACGCGGGGCTCGATCCCAGGACCCTGAGATCATGACCTGAGCCGAAGGCAGCGGCTTAACCCACTGAGCCACCCAGGCGCCCCATTGCCACCATTTTTAAAGTGAGGAAACCAAAGTTAAAACAGAGATGTTGACCATCCTGAACGCTTTTTCAGGGGGCGCCTTGGGGATCCTGGCCAGGCTCTGTCTACCCAGAAGGCCTCAAAGCTCTGTTTCTAGAAATCTCAGCACCTTAGCAGAAGCATTAAGGTAGATTCCAGACTAACAACATCCTCACCAGTCTGGCCTCAGACTGGAAAGCTGGTCTTTCCAGGGTCTCCCTTTTATGTACCCTGTCTTATGTACCCAAACTAGACTCTTTATGGTTCCTTGTTTGGGATCTTGCCTTTCAGTTTCCAACCTCCACATCTGTGTTCCCATCCCATTTCCCAACTTCCCATTGTTAAAATCTGAGCTGCTCTATCTCTAAGCCCTGCACAGTGTGTCTCTGTTCCTACAGGAAGCCAGGGCAGAGGCCAGGGAGGTGACTTCTAAAGTAGCTCATTGGGCTGATCGTCCCTGGTGCAGGCTAAGCGAAGCAGGGACTCAGCCACAAGTTGTTTGGGGCTAGACCTTGGTATCTGAAGGGACCCTGGCAGTCTTCAGGTGATCACCCATCAGCTGTGGAAAATGGGGGCTGGTTAAAGGAGGAAGTCTTGACTCAGATGCAGTAGGACAGAGGGAACATCAGCAGGGGAGGGATGGGCGGCAGTGCAGAGCCACTGAGCCTCGGTTACAAGCTGCAGGGATGGAAGGTCCATGAGGGGTCATGGACAGATGTGAACAGTAAATGTTTGGTCCATCTCATCTGTGAGAGTGGTGTCATGGAAGATACGTGTTCCCACCACACTTCCTTTGATGCACTTGTCAGAGATTAAACATGGGGCTGGATCAGTCGTCTGTTTTATTTCTACTTTATTTCTTCAGGTAGTTGCTATCTTCTCCTTAGGAAAAGTTAAAAGCTTAAACTGTTGTCTCAGACATTCCTGACTTTGCATCATGGCGCCGCCTGCTAATCCTGCTCATTCTGGGGCTGACTGGCGGTGACTTCACCCGGCACAGTATCATTTTCCTCATCTGTAAAATGAGAGGAGTGGTGTCAGTAAGAGTGCCTGCTTGGGGCGTCTGGGTGGCTCCATGGGTTCAGGGTCCAACTCTTGATTTCGGCCCAGGTCTTGACCTCAGGGTCGTGAGTTCAAGCCCCACACTGGGCTCTGCGCTGGGCATGGAACCTACTTTAAAAAAAAAGAAGGCCTGCCTCAGGTTTGTGCTAGGGTGCGGTAAGCTGATATAGCAAAAGTGCTGAGAGCCCTGCTGGAACAGAGTTTGTCTTAAGAGAATGGTGACCAGTATCGTTTCCCGTCTGTGTCTCTGAGCTCTTCATCAGAGTTCTTCTGGCTCCACAAAAGCCGTAGGCTCGGAGCAGCCTTCTCGTCCTCTCCCGGTACAGTTTCTTAGGCAGGGAGACCCTGGGTGCTTCAGTACGTGGTGTTTCTGGCAAGGGTAGCTGTCTAGGCAGTCTTCCAAAATGCATCCCCTGTCCCTGGCACGCTGGCTGTGGCAAATGGGGACTTCTGGGAGGACTTGTCCCTGGCTCATGAATGTTTTGTGACCAAGTGCCCATAGCCTCTCTGCAGGCCCAGACAGTGTTAGCGGAGGACTGGAGGATTTATGTTCTGGAGGGGCTGTTACATCTTGCTCCCTAATTCTACTGAGGAGAGAACAAGAGCAGAGAGCCTTAATGCTCAGGAGAGGTCTGGATGAATAGGTAAGAGCCCCATTTCTCCAAGCAAGCTCTGTGGAGCCCTTGCACCAGGATGGCATAAGGTCTGTACAAAAAGTCTCTAAGGAAATTATTTTTTTTTTAAGATTTATTTATTTATTTGACAGAGATCACAAAGAGGCAGAGAGGCAGGCAGAGAGAGAGAGGAAGGGAAGCAGGCTCCCTGATGAGCAGAGACCCCGATGCAGGGCTCGATCCCAGGACCCTGAGATCATGACCCGAGCTGAAGGCAGAGGCTTTAACCCACTGAGCCACCCAGGTGCCCCTCTAAGGAAATTATTAATACCCCCATACTTGATTGGGTGTTACACAGGGACAGTAGACAGTACGGTCGGGGAGAGAGAGATTGACTGCTAGGACTTCTTGAGCCTGGATTGTCTGAGGCTTTGTGCCTAAGAACACTTCGAACACGTCTGAAACGTGGCAGTAGATCCAGACTATGTGGAGGCCGGATAGACGGCATTTATACGCTCTGATGCCTCACGCCGCCCCTACCCAGTGCAGCCTCTCCAGAGACACATTGCCCATCGATCTCTCAAGAAGCTGCCTTAGTGGAGAAACCAGTGGAACTTCAGCCTGCTGTGACCTAGACCATGTCCCTCCCCACCCCAGCCTCAGTGTCTTTGTCTGTACAATGGGGAGCTGGGCAGAGGGTCTCGAGGAGCTCCCCTGGCTCTGTCATCCTAACAGTGAATCTGATTCCTGGCAATTAGAGGCCGCGCTCTTCCTTGACTGCAGCCTTCCTTCCTGGCACTCAGTCTGGGGATGCCATCAGAAGAAGCCTGAGCCTCACACAGTGACTAAGCAGCTCCATGTTTCCTCCCTCTGTGGCTTGGTGCTCTTCTCCTTTCTGTCCTACCAGAACGTACCTACTTAGCTCTGGCCACAAGCAGCGGTGAGAGAAGAGCAGCTGACCATGACTAGCCAGCCGCCATGTTGGCTCCCATTTTCTCATTTTTCCTTAAGCCACCCATTGTGCAGAGAACTCACTCGGGCCTGGTCAAGCTCTTCAATCAGTTCGGTGTGTCTTTGCCATGATTCCCACTCCCTGGTACTCTCTTCCCCCCATACACCCCACATTTATCCAAATCCTCCCCGTTGGTTAAAGCCCAGCTCATATTCTGCCTGTCCATGAGGCGTCACTGTTCCTTGACCTTCATCAGCAACAATGTCTCTCTTCTCTGAGCTACTTGACCTTTTCTCTTGCCTCTCTCCCTTGTATTATGGGACTTTGTGTTTAGATCTGTGTCCTAATTGGCCCACAAGCACATGGATTGCTGAGACGATATCCTGTACATCACACCCTATTAAGGTCCTATACGCAAAACCCAAGGTTCCTCCCAACCAAGGCCAGGAAGAGGCCCTTCCAGCAAGATGGAGGGCCTTCCCAGCAACTCCTCAAACTCTTCTGGTCTTCGTAGCTCCATGTGTAAGCTCATCACCCTAGCAGAAGAGTGCCCTTGAATTGCGTGGGTTTGTACAGGAGCCTAGGGAGGGATTTTCCAGAATTTCCATTTGTCATCTTTCCTTGCAGTAAACCTTTATTGCTGAGACCCTAGCAAATCACTTCCCTACTCTGACCTTCTATGTCTGTCTCCAACAGATAAAAAGTAGCTCCACTGAGAGGGTCAAGTGCTTGTGCATATGTAAGATAGTCTTTAAAGGGGGAGGACAAAGCAATCTAGGTTTACAGGCTGAGCAGGACACAGACAGGTACACAAGTACTGTACTACAAGGTAGCATGTGGTAAGGGTCATCAGGGCATAGAACGCCAAGTTAGCGGCAGAGTGTGGTTTCTTACACGTGGAATGGGTTTGGAGGAGGAGCTCTGGTGCCAAGGCTCCCTGGCCAGTCAGGGTGGCAGCATGTCAGGGAGGCACAGCAAGGCCTTGGTCCCACTCCAGGGGGATTTTCCCCTCTCCAGGAGCTTCCTCCCCGCCTTTCTAAGGTCACCTGGTCAGTTGAGTATTTCACATGTACCAGGTGCCCAAGTGCCAGAGAGGAAAAGCCACATGGTCTCTGCCTCCTGGGAGTTGATGGTTTGTCTGAAGATACACAGGCGAATGAGAAGTGTTGCCAGCAAGCACGATCCCTTCCCTGGTGTCAGAGCTGGTTCCAGGAGCCCTGGGCGCTTGGGCAAGCCTTCACGTGCTTTATTTTCTAACAGAAAAGTGGACTGTGGACACTAATACCTGTTCTACTTGGTAGAATGCAGTAAGTGGCTTAAGAGAGCCAAAGCTCTTTCTCACAATGTTGCTATGAGGATCCTTTGCTGGAAGAGTCAGGTCGGTCTCCCTATAGGAGGCAAGTCTGGAGCCAAATTTGAAAAAACAGTTGAGGGGTTTGGGACAATGGTACCCGTAGAGTGACCCTGGAAGCCAAAGGAGATGACCCAGTGGCTGTGCCCCAGGCAGGAATAGGACCTTTCCTGTGGCAGAGAATAGACAGTAACTTGTGAAATTGCTGTTTCCGTGTGAGAGCCTGCTATTATGCGGGACAGGGTTTTGCATATATTATCTCTAATCCTTAAAACCACTCTTCAAGGTAGACACAACCCCCACTTTACAGATGAAGAAATGAGGTTAGGAGAGGATTTGCCCAAAGCCACAAAGCTAGCTGGTGGGGGAACAAGAAGTCAGACCCACGTTTGCCTGGTTCCCTTCTAAGTGTAGGCCTGAGAAGAATTTCATGAAAGACAGAGGCTCCCACCCCAAACAAACCATGATGGACCCAGAGCTGCCGGGGCCAGGGCCGGGGCCCTTGCCTCCTGGGTGCCACCCATGCACACCGACTCCCCAGCTCTTCCTGATCTGGTACAAACCCACCATTGTTCCGCTTAGCTTGGCCAACTGGGTGCCCTACCCCCCTACCGCCTCCATCCCAGTTGCACTCACACCTAAAAATGATCTCCCCACCCAATCCCCACTTTTCTCTAGCAGAAGGCCCGAGACATGTATGCGGAGGAGCGGAAGAGGCAGCAGCTGGAGAGGGACCAGGCTGCAGTGACAGAGCAGCTGCTGCGCGAGGGGCTCCAGGCCGGTGGGGACGCCCAGCTCCGAAGGACACGCTTGCACAAACTCGCAGCCAGACGGGAAGAGCGGGTCCAGGGCTTCCTGCAGGCCTTGGAACTCAAGCGGGCTGACTGGCTGGCACGTCTGGGCACTGCATCAGCCTGAGTGAGGCTGGCCTCCTGCCACTTTGCCCTGCCCTCTGCCTCCAGGGCCCCACTCCCCTTTCTTTTCTTGGTGAAAGGCCCCTCCCTCCTAATGATGAATTGTGTTTCCTTTGCTTGGCAAGGGAGCCTCAGAGGCCTGGTCTGCTGGCCACAGATACACCTTTTGGACCGCCTGGCCCAGTGGCCCCTGGGAAGGGTTTAGATGAGAGTGTCCACAAGTACACTAAAGCCAGCTCCGGTCAGCAGTAGGTTTGGAGAGCAGGGAGCCCCAGGTCTTCGCTGCCTGATCCTTCTGCCTCTGCCGCTTCTGCCACCTCTACGTGTGCGCCAAATGCACTTTATTTTTTCACCAGCACATCCTTTAACACACAGAATTTCAGGGCAGAGGTCTACCCAAAACCCTAGCCCTTTACCAATCCATCTTAATCTACCCGACTTTCACAAAAGATTTGGCTCCACCTTGGATCCACTGGTGAATAGCTAATAGGCAGCCTGCGTTATTTGGGCAAGGAAGGGGAGGGAGACACAGAAAGAAAATTTGCCCATCTGCTGCTCCTCCCCCTGGGCTCTCCACCTGGGATTTGCTATTGAATCTCTACCCCCCTCCCACCGCACAGCGCTGATTGCTCACTGAAAGGCTCAGCGCCCCCAATGGCGCTCGGAAGCCAAGCGGGTGATTACAATCCAATTACCTATTGTCGACTCAGCCCACACAAGCTTTTCTCCTCCTCTTGCGGGGCATGGGGCCAGGCTCCACGCCCCTGAGAGACCGCCCCGTCCATGACTACGGGGTAACAGAAGGGCCCATAGGCCCTGGTGAGTCTGATCCACCACAGGCCTCCTTCCCTGGAACACGTCACAGGATCCAGAGCGTAGAAACAAGCACTCTCCCAACTGACTGCTGTCCTCACCATCTCAGACTCTTGCCTCCTGCCGCCTGTCTCTGAGGCTTCTCCGTTGTTGACCCGGCCCCGAGTAGCCCCTGAGACGATTTATTCTCAGCGTGGCGGAGTCTCACCTTGTCAGGGCTAACGCTGTCCAGCAGGGAGAGGAGGGCCAAGTTGAGGACTGTTTCCTGCCCCTTACATCTCCCGGCCAGGCCTTGCTGCAGAGCTGCTGAGAGGATTAGTGCCTTTGTAGAGCTGTCTGCCTGAACAGCTCTGCTTCAGGTGCCTGGAGCAGCAAGCACCAGCCTTTCACACCAGCCAAACAACACCGCTTTACTTTCTGCAAACTGTTTCCCCAGCACCTCCCTCTAGGGGAGCGGTGGGGTCTTGCAAGCAGTGCTCCTAGCAGTCTTGAAACACCTAACTTCCCTATATTCCAGTCTCCTCTTCCCCTTCCTGTGCCAGGATACCTGGCACAAGAGACCCTTGGCCATCATCCCTGCTCCCAGAAGCAGGCAGAAATGCCAGACACTGCGATTGAGAAGCCAATCAATGCACCCTTTGGCAAGCCCCCTACACACACCTGGCATTCCCCACAACCAGTCCCTGGCACAGGGCTCCCCGAGAGCAGGTGCCGTACATTTTCCAGCTTTACAATGGGGCTGTTGACAGCCTTAATTAGGGAGGCATGAATTATGCGGCTATAATGCAGAGCCCTACAATTAAGGCGGGAATGAGGGGCTGGAGGCAACAAACGGAATCTGCCCAGTGAGCCTGACTATTGAGTCCTGTCTCCGTTCTTGTCTGACTTTCCCTAATATGACTGGGGTACAGCAGAGATGAATGAAGCTGATGTCTCTGGGTTTAGGTCCTGTATTCTGGGGTAAGGTACACAGAGTGGGACAGGCAGGGGCTGAGGGACCACTACTGATGAGGTACAGAAGCTGCAGATAAGAACTCCTTGCTTCCTACCTGCAGGATTTGTACAAACGGCTCAATCCTTGCCTCAAGAAAGGAGGTGGGACCTATGTAAATGTCCCCTCACCTGTGAGCTAGTCCCCCACTTGAGGATATTTATTGTGTTCTTGTGTTCTCCTGGGTTTCAAATAGAATTTTAAAAATTCTTAGATGTAAAACTTGTCTCCAAACAGTACAACAGAAGAACACCTGGTTTTGCCGCTGCAATTGTCTGCCCTCCCTCAGGTGCGCTTGGCTGCCTCCAGGATCCCCAGCTTTGGGGGGCATGCGAGGTGGGGGAGCCAGTGGAAGAGCCCTTTTGCCATTGCAACACCTGTTCCTTTACTTGTTTCCTAATCCCCGGTCGCTATCGTCCACCCTCCTTGTCCTCCCGCAAGTGAGAGGAAGCCAGCCTGCCAGTGTGGAAAGGAGGGATTTCGCCAGCTGCGTTTGCAGCGCCCAGGCTTGGTGGCCGCGTCGGGTGGGGGCAGCTGAGCTTGATGTCTCCAGAGCGGGTGGAGCGTAGGGGGAGGGGAGTGCTAGTAGGCCTAGGCGGCTGCTCTCCATCATTCTGTGGCGGGGTTCCGAGGTCCGGGAATACAGAATACAGGGACCTAAGGGAGCCACTCGACAGGCTTTGGGGTGGGGGGGCTTCGTTGGCATTGGGGAGGCGGCTGGGAAACGGGTGCTGAAAGGACAGCTCCTACCTGCCCCACAGCACCCGAAGGGGACCTCTGCGTGTAAAGCCTCCCCCCTCGAGCTCCCACCCCACCTCGAGCGGACCGCCTTCCAGGTGAAGAGCACGAAAGGATTCCTCGGAGTGGCAGCTTGGAAGGATGCACGTCCGGCTGCGCCAAGCTGGCTTCCCCGCTCTTTCCCCACTTCAGCGTCAGCCTTGGCCCTGGGAATTGGAGACTGTGCCTCCAAGCCGCGCGCTTCCTCCCGCCTCCGGCGGAGAAGGGCGGTGCGGCCAGGCCTCGCAAACCCTTCTTCTGGGGCCCCCAGCGGGAACAGGAAGGAAAGCGGCCGAGATGCGCCCTAAGTGTCGCATGGCTTGGAGAAGTGGGTAGCTGGGTTGCATAAGGTGGAAGGAACTTGGTAGTTTGCAAAAGCCAGCGCTTGGCGGGAGCTGTAACGCAGAACTCGGCGAATCGCACACCCCCTCCTCGTTTACTGCCTTCGACGCGCGCCTCCCCCACTGCGCCCCCACCCCCCTAGGCGCGCCGCCGTCTCGCGCGCCCTCCCCGCCGTACCCCCCTCCTCACTCCCTCCAGAGGAGGTGAGTTTAAACCCCGCCCACGTGACCCCAGCTGGGCCAATGAGCGGCGGCGGGAGGTGAAATCCGGTTCTAACCGGTCCGGGGCTCCCAGCGCTATAAAAACTTTATAAACCCCCCGGAGCCCGAGCAGTGTGAAGAAGAAGAGGCGAGAACGACCCCCGGACCGGCCAAAGCCCGCGCGCCGCTGCATCCCCGCGTCCAGCGCTTACGTCCCGCCGCCGTCGCCACCATGCCCAAGAGAAAGGTACGTGGCGCGAGGGCCCCAGGCGCTGGGCCGCCACTGCCGCCACCGCTACCGCTGCTGCCGCCGCCGCCGCTTCCCCGGCTTCGGGGCGCGAGAATCGGCGCCGGGCTGGAGCAGGGTCGGACGCCTTGCACAGGAGCTCGAGACGGTGTCAGGCTGCCCCGGGCTAACCCTGCGCGGCTCGACTGCCCGCGGGCGCCAGAGGCCATATTGGAGGAGCGGCGGCCGCGGCGGGAGGAGCCATGTTGGCGGCTGTTTATCCCGCTCCCCTCGGGTTCGCCGTGCCCGCCCCGCGCCCCCTCCCCCATCGCCATGCCCCTTCCCCTCCCCGCGGGCGGGCAATTCAAACCCGAAAGGGCGGGAAGGCGGTGCTCGAGCTTGGCGGGCGGGGGAGCGCGCTGCCGCCAAAAAACCGCCGCCGTGAGGGGGCGGGGCCCGTGTCCCTTGGGGCGGGGCTTCGCTGTGTGGCCCCGCCTCCGCCCACGGCCCCGGCGCACGAGACTCGCGCCGGTGCGCGCCGCTGCCGCCCACGAGTTCCCCCGGCTGCGCGCGCCTCCAGTCTCCCGCCCTCGACGGCTGCCATGGTAACGGCGCTCGGGCCCCGCCTCCGGAGGGGTTTGTTTGCACCATCTGCAGCTGTTGCTTCTGCTTGGCGCCGCAGCGCGGGCTGCGCTCCTCCAAGCTCTGAGCTCCAGTTGAGCGCGCGCTGCCCGGGGCGGCTCGGCGGTGGCTCCAGGCCGCCTGGGGCTCGGACACCCGCTTTTCCTGCGCGCTTTGCGCCATCTCGGGCGTGATGCTTGCACAGAGGAGCAGTCAGATTGCTGAGCATTCAGGGCATTTTCATAGGAGCTGGGGATGCTAAAACCTGAAGATTTGTATGTCTTGGAAAAGTTGTGTGCAAGACTTCCCCCTTCAGTTTTTTTCCTTAGGACTGTTATGCTTAGTCCGTAAGTATTGCCTTCGAAGCTACAACTTTCTTAGGCTTTGTCTTTTACAGGCTGAGGGGGATGCTAAAGGAGATAAAGCCAAGGTGAAGGACGAGGTGAGTCTTAAACAGCTTTGGGACTCCTTTGCTGGTAATTAATCACACCTCTAGTCCGGAATTTCCCTATGCTCTCTGCACTTCCTGTAGTCTAGACCAGATTGATAACAAAATTTTTTACCTTTTGGTTTTTCTTAACTGTCCTATTTCTAATTTTTTTTTCTTTTAATAGCCACAGAGAAGATCTGCAAGGTTATCTGCGGTAAGTGTCTGCTATTAAACTATGTTTATCCCTGAAACTAAAGAGTATTAAAAATTCCCTTTGTTTCCCATGGGTTACGTTTAGTGGCAGCTTTTGAATGATCTACTCCTTGTGGGCTCTCACCTGATTGATACTTGTGGTTCTGAAATTCAGGTCGCATATAGCCAAAGTGGGACACCTTGGCATGTTACTTAAATGGGTTCCTGGAGATGGAAAACTCCTAACGGAAAGTCAACCCCAGAGGCTTTAGGAAATAAGAGAAACTTCTGTACCGGTGGTACTGTGGTTTGGTGGTAGATTGTTTCTTTGGCCCATCATACTAATATTCTATTTTTCTTTTCCTGAAATAAAAGAAACCTGCTCCTCCAAAGCCAGAGCCCAAGCCTAAAAAGGCCCCAGCAAAGGTGAGTGGAACTGAAAGACTAGGATGCTCCTCGGAGTTGCTGCGGCTTCCCACATTGCTGGCAGTTCTGCTAACAGTTTTCATCCATTGACACAGACTTGATATGAGAAAGTTATTTGAACTGGGCCTTAAAAATTATGTTGGAAGTGGTCATTTTCGCAGGATGAGGCCTATCCTTCAGTGTCCTAATTCAGCAGGCTGATGACCCCGTTAATGGACATTCTAACTTTTTTTTTTTTTTTTTTTTTTAAGATTTTACTTATTTATTTGACATCACAAGCAGGCTCCCTGCTGAGCAGAGAGCCCGATGCGGGGCTCGATCCCAGGATCCTGGGATCATGACCCGAGCTGAAGGCAGAGGCTTCAACCCACTGAGCCACCCAGGCGCCCCTCTAACTTGTTTTGATAGCTTCCCTTATTTATCCTTGACATTTTGTAGTACTGGTTTTCTAATCAAGAACTCTATGAAGATAATAAATAATTGGGCAACAGCGTTCTGGGCAGGGGAGTCCACAGTTTACAAGAGATTGTACATATTAAACCCAAGTATTCAAGGCACTGTTTCTTCTATTTTTTACACTCAAATAAAAACTTGTATACTGAAGACCACAGCAAATGATAATTTGGTCTTGTTTTGATCCATTTTTATCAGTGGGGGAGGGTTGAGGGTTTATAGTCTGTGGGTGTGTTATCTTTGAT